GTGGGAGGGGGTTAGTATAACTTATTCAGTCGTAACTAGGGATGCACCGAGATCAACACTCATCAATACTGGAACCGAAGCTAACCGCGAATGAGACCGAGATCGAAACCGAAACCTCGACCGTGACGACTGAGACAGGGATGGGAAGTCTTGGTTTCGGCACAACCCTACTGATAATTATTGGCAGTCTCCATAACTTTTTCAATTCTATATAAACATCGTCCTTTTAATATGTCACTCTGCCAAGCAGTGATATCTTCAAACTTGAAGTACCGTCCTTATCGGTCCCGAAAAATTCATAAGGACAACCCTTAAGTAGATCCCAAATGGCTAAACGAATCCTCCCAGTGTAAATCCACAAAATTTATGGAGACTACCTCCAGGTAGGACGCAAAAAGTTACAGGGATCACATCTAGATAGGACCTAAGAGATTTAAGTGGTTACCCTTAATTACGATCCAAGTAATACTAGTGATTGAATGCAGGCAATCTAGTGATTGTGGACAAATCAGTGAATAGAACTGTTTCACCAATTCTTTCGTTCATTTTATCTGAACTACGATCTGAGAGCTGTTATAGCCCTAGTGAGAAAGTAGAAATATATCGATAAATAGAAGTAATTCCACCATCAAGTTCTTTATTGCTTTCTTATTACGTTATTAATTTTCCTGGCTTTTAGTTAGTACTATTAAGTCGAAATAACAGTTATTACTTATTGCCGGTAATAGTAATGTGCTACCCCTACTAAACATATATAATAAGACCCTAGATTTGCTCTTTGGTAGTTTGCGGTAGTAAGACGAGCGAGTTTAAGAAATAAATATTCGGAAACTATGATTCTCGAAACTTTAATGAGTCTATTCTAGAGTTTATTGTCAATTCATCGAGTAACAAGTATTTAGATACATCGATTGAAATATACTAGATAAAAAACTGTATGAAATACTATAATGTATTTTTATATGAGTATAGTTAAAGTGGGCTCATTATTACTGATTTCTTGCATATTCTATTTAGAGAAGAAACGCTTATGCTTATCAGTACTCGTGACCGTGAGCTGCATACCCCTAATCCAGCAGGATCCATGTTTTTTACATCGTTTGAAGATTGCTGTAAAGCGAATCCGTTTTTGGTGCATTATGATAGACTCCGACGTATTTAGTAAGTTGAAGTAGCTTCTACTAGATTTTCGTAGACTCCAGTCAATCTATTGTGCAATTTAATACCCTTTATTAGGATCCACAGGGCCCAACAAGGTTCTCAGGATCCACAAGATTCGGTAGGATCCAGGATCCGCTTCCCCCCTTGGAAAATAGACTTTAATTACTGATGTGAGTAGCGGTAAACATAGGCTATCGAACTGTACCAAAATTTTATCTAGTTAGCGGGTATGGGTGTTACTTTCTTCATGTTTTATGTCTGTAGTAGGGAGGGAGGGGTGGGGTACAGGGAAGCCGCAAAAACCTTGTACTTCAACTTAAACTCATTATTTTCTTCGAAAATATATGTAAGTTCCACACAATGTAGATCGATTTTTTTCATTCTTCAATAAGATAAGTATTCTTCGAAAGGATCAGATATGAAAAACTATTCTAAAAACATTTTATCCGGAAAAAAATCTGAAATGATCACTAGATGTCTGAATAACTTATTATTCCTTTAGACTAGACAATATTGTTTTTTCCGGTTCAACAGATCACATATTCTTATACAGACATATCAACAAGAAGAAGCTCTTCTAAATGACTTTTGAATTTCTTTTAATAAAATACATAACAAATTCATTTCTATTAGTTCAACACTTTTGAACTGGTCCAATAGTCTTTTCAATTTTATTCATGCATCATCTAATACAATCTTTTCTTTTCTCTTCTCTATTTTTTCCTTTCTCCTATCACACTACCTGAATTCGACAGTTTGATTTCTTTAGCAATAAATTATGCAAATAACATCTATTTTTCTTCTTCTTTTTTATTTTTCATTCTCGCTATAGATATAGTCTTATTGATACAGCTTCAATTCTCATTTTCGTTCCATACGTATATTGACACATGATCATCATTCTTTCACACGGTTTCTCATATCAATCGGAGAACGAACAATACAAAAGTCTGATTGCTCATTTCAACTTCATTAAACATACAGCGGATGGCTACCTGATGTGATGAAGTCAAAAGAATTCCATATTCCGATGCCATATTAAGATTGAGTTCAAAAATAGGTGGATTATTCGTATATGACCCGTTTGATAGATCTAACGATTTAATAAATAATTTACCAATAGCACCTGAACCGATTCGACTGTTCTAACAAATAAAATATTTTCAAAGATATTTATTTGATCCAGAATAAGATTAAGATTAAATTTATTTTTAATATAAGAGCAAATTGTTTATCAAAATGATTATGATAAGGTTGATTTCTGATTGTTTCAAGTTTAATCAGAAATGGTTCTTCATGTACATCAATATCGGCACTAAATAACGATGACACCAGACGAATACGTATAACTCCTTTAAAAAGCAAATGCAAAAGAAAACAGTTTATGTTCAATTTAGAATAGAAATAATTTATTTTGAATCAAACCTGGCTTAATTGTTTTTGGTATTCGAGTTTTTGCTATTAAAATTGAATCAATATCATCACTGTCATTCGATTGTTTATTTATTGAATCAATAATAACATCAACTGAACATTTAAATGTTGCTGAAAATAATCTTAGATAAACTTGACAATAATATTGTTGATGTTGTTCTTCTTCTTTTTCATTAATTCTTTGAACCTATTTTTCGATGTTCTAATGATCGATCATATTTTATTAATTGCTTGTACTGTTAATAATCTCGTAATCGTTTGATACCTTTTGAAATAGGAAAAGTAACTTTATAATCAATATAATGTTGTTTCATTGCTCGATGAATTGTTGCCGCCATTATTAACATGACGATCAATGAAAACGAAGCGCATGACAATAATTCTAAAAATGAAATGAAATTTTGTCCAGATAGATCCCATCTATAAGTTAACTTTCTTAGATAAAAGTATTAGTATAATTGTTTAAATATTCTGCACGCGTAAATTTTCTACTGTTACAATGAATAAATATTATTTGTTAAAAATTCTAGTTTATTTAGATAAATATAAAAACAAGGAAATTTTTTTAATAAGAATCGATTCGGTAATTTTAATAAATACCAACTTATCGAGTAGATATATTCAATTTTCAATTGCTGTATTGCTTTATAATCCTCGATGAGATTTATTTATGTCGTAGACCTCCAAATATTTATAAGAAAAGCTTCTATAATGTGAATACGGTTTGTAGTATCGAGAATCATTCACATTAGCGGGGTGATCACTATGGAGGGAATTTACGGAAACAGAGATTTTTCGAATTTTATAAGACCTATTCGTTGTTCTAGTGATGAATTGCAGTTTATTGAAATAACGATCTATGAGATAAAGTCAGCAACTGAAAAAATAATTAAGCGAAGCAATGCGAAGGCAAGGAAAAAACATTCATGATCTTATTATTTTCAAGTCTAATATCTTCGAATCAGTTAAACACATCATAAAAATCCACTAATAATGGATCACTAGAAGTTTTGTTACAAATTAAGAAAATTACGTTATGCTAAATCACTTCACAGAAAAACAACTAATTCAGTCGCTATTTCAACATCAATTTATCTCTAGCTTGTGAAAATAAGCTGCAGAAGTTTTTTCGATCAAGTTAAATTCGTAATAATTCGCCAGCTGTTTATATCGTCAGTTTCAGTCTTGATGAATTTGTTTTAGAAACTATAGTGTAGCAAGGATATTTAAATTATATGAGAAAAACTTCAACGAAAAAATTTCGATCAATTTCAAAAGACCTATAGAAAAACGAAAATTTCTTTTTTAAACGTAACTAATTTCGCAGCAACAGAATGTGATAGTGTTTAATAGTTTATGATCAAAATCCACGAAAAAGAATATGAAAAACTCGTTCGGACGTTTTGAAACGTAAAAGTCAATATTTTACGCGTTTTAACAGTGTCATAACCGCTTTTTTGTCTGCCTGAGTAGTTTATGAGAAAGATCTAGAAGAAAGAAAGATTAAAAATGCAGTCTTAAGTTCCAATAGCTTGATGAATGGAAGATGTGTCAGAATACCATTTTTCTGCAACGTTTTGGTCATTCAATTTTAGTGTCACCTTAGCGGCGACGCCAGAATTTTGTATTTGGCGGCGCTGAACCCTCGGTGAATGCTTAGGGGCTCAAAGAGTTTCTTTTTGAGGAGGCGATTTTAGCTTCTTACTCAGTCAGAACTTATAATTTTTCTGGGGGACTGAAAAAGATTAAGGGTGTCAAGCTCCCCCTAGCCTCTCATCATGCGGTCACTATATGCATAATCTATTGAGCTAAATTGCAATTGATGAGATCTTTCAGTGTTATGTTAAATACAAAGGACCTTTGTGATACTTATATAAAATCCAAACGATAGTGAACAGATATCAGATGTGTTAATAGCATTATTATTTTCTAACTTCCCTATTCGAAATTTTCTTCATTATGTGTCAAACAAAAAAAAAGATGTCAAAACACGTATGTTTATCACTTGCTTTTAGACTATATATCTGTATGTGTGCATATATCCTTAAACTACTGTAATAGCCGCTTTCTACACTTCTTTGCTTGTATTCGTTTTTTGGTGGTGTTTGCTATAGCTGGGCACTTTAGATTTTTTTAAAATATGAATCCAGGAGGTCGTAATGGAATCTTATCTAGTTTGGATCCAGAGGTATGATGTTAATATAAATACAATATTGCTTTTCATTTCCTCACTAACATTTGTTTGCATGCACTTACTAACAAAGAATAAATTTTAGTTTCAATAAGCTATTATAAAACATTCTTTCCATTTCTATTTATCTCGTATTTTAGAATAAATGTTTATCGACAAACTCAACAGAAAGTGCAGTAAAATCTGCAAAAAAAATCTCAATTTTTATACGATGCCTATGCATCAACTAATCAGCGAAAACTTTTAACAAAAAAGCAGAAAGTTGATGAATTAAAAGTAGAAAATAAAAAATTAATGATAGAAAACAAAATTATCCTTGATCGGATATCGTAAAAACTTGATTAATCTTTTATTATTTCGTGAACTCTGTCTTTTAGTTTAAAGAACGACAAAAAGAAGCCAACGAATTGATAGTCTATAGGGAAAAATCTCAATGGAAATTTCAAGAGATGATAACAAAACAAGAAAAAACAACACGTGTTTTCAAAGTCTGTGAAACATCAATTCTAATATTTTCAATCATGTATTTTTTTCATCTAGATGATGCAAGAGACTGATCACTCGAAAGTAAACATTTTATCAACAATCGTCTGTATTCTTATCGCTGTTATCGGTTATATGATTATCATGAACCAATTCAAAATATGAACCATTTCAAAGCATGATGAAATTATTTTTTCTGTACGCATGGAAATGTACCCAAGTGGATCAAAACGGACCACCGTAAACTGGCGTAACATTATCGTAAACGGTCGTTTTTGCATCGTATTCCGTCGTAAAACGGCCGTTTTAAGCCGAATTAAGGCGTTTTAACAGGGGCAGTATTACGGCCATACACAGACACCGTACATCAGCCGTAAAACCTCATAAAGCCGGCATAATATTATCGTATTCTATAGAACATACGGTCGTATTATTGCCCCTGTTATACGGGGAGAATACGGCACGTAAAACGGGCCGTATTTGTATCGTATACGACTGTTTACTGATCGTTTTCTTCGACCAGGATAGTTAAAAATAATATCAAGAAAATTTACTTCGCAAGAATTTTTGAATCTTTCCTTGTTGTGTAATATGGCTAAAATTCATTGTATTTTTGTGCGACATAGTGTATATCTCATTCATTTTGTACATGATCATTAATAATATAAAAAATGGTTAAATTACCAATATGATGTTTATATAACTTGATAATTCTACTGATCCGTTTAGTATCTTGAGAATTCTTAATATGTATCAGAGAATATCGCAGGCGATTTTCTTCGTTCTGTACTTCTGCTGCAAGACAGAAGTACTCAGCCGTTTTCTTTCGCAAGATGCACAGCAAGGAATCAAAAATTTCTTTCTGCAAGACGAATTTTGATCACATTTTTGAACAGGATAGCAACTTGAGAATATAGAACCGCAGCAAAGACTTATGCAATAATCGCGATCATTTTTGCGTTGGAAAGGCTAGTTGATTATTTTGTTAAAAAATCGCTTGCTCAAAAAATACTTCGATAAAAAATGATTTTAATTCTGATCTTCAATTGAGAGCACAATCATTCCTTAGAGATTATAACCGACTAAATGATTTCTACTCAAATTTTTATTTACAAGCAATTATACATATGGATGGCTCAAAATTCATGATCACTTAACCATTGCGCATAAATTCAGTATTAAGCAAGTGTAATTAAATATTACTTTTTCCGTTTGGACAAAGTTCATAACTACTTGTCAAAATTAATAATTTTGGCTTTAATACAAAAATTTCGAATTTTTTCAATATAAAGAAAAACTTAACAAAACACTTTTATTATACAGGCTTCTTTCTTGGTTTGATTTTTCAAATAATGGAGATCGTTCATGGTTGTTTTGTAGATATTTTCTTTAAAATGCCCCAAGATAGAAGTTTAATGATATCAAGTTTAGTGATTGAGAGGTCCATTACATGGGTCAACTTCCGATTTATTTATCATGATAAATATTGTTCTACCGGAGGTTTTGACTGTAAGTTAAAAAGTAGTTAATAATAGCCTGATTTTACGTCCATCTTCATAGTCCACATCTACATCTACGCGCACATCATTATACCATGCCTCTCTTTTTCTGATTGCAATAGTCTATGCATATGATGTATTCAAACAAAAAGAAGTAGATTTTATTTCGTTCAGTGAAATAAACATATAAGATATCGATATCTTTCCAAATTGTGTGTAGTATATCAATACCGAATATTCTACGATGAAAAGTAAACGAATTTATTTTTCTACTTATTACCGAGAACATCGAGGAAAGAGCCAAGATTTCCACACTCATACTAGCTATGAAAACATCAAGTGAATCAATACTTGCACCTTTGATTAACAGCATGTGCTATTTTTAATAATCCATCGATATATCAAACAAGCTCATCTCTCCCAAGTAAGAAACATTACTTTAGCTTCAAATTTTCGAACCTTAGCAAGCATTGAATGTCGTAGTAGTGATATAAATATAAGCCATATCGAAGCATGTTCAATCAAAATACCGAATATTCTAGTTGCAATAACACACCAAAAGTATTAATATCAATAAACGTATATTTCTGATCAAGATGAGTGGATGGTACTGTTGTTGTTGTTGCGGTCGTTTTGGACATTTCAAGGCATGATGACCTACCCAGATCGAGCAATCCGAGAGTAGGTACCTATCGGAACCCATCCGATACGACTGGAACCCAATAGGATTTTATTGGATCCTGTCCGATCTTACAGAATTATCGTTGGATTCCGGGTCGAGGGATCGATGTCCGATCCTCAGCGTCGGATTCTTATGAATTCCAAGGAAAAACCGTTGTATGTCATCGGAAGTTCATAGGATTCCGACACTGAGGATCCGACATCGATTCATCGACCCGGAATCCAATAGAACTGTATCGGATTGTAGGATATTTCCAGGTTCCTATCGGATCCGATGTCGGATCAGCCGACTTGGGTGGTTCTTTGCAATAAAAACATAAGCCAAATTTAAAACAATCATCTTTTGTTGTCGCTGTAGTAAATGGTGTCGTGTCGCGTTGTTGTTGTGGTTGTCGTGAATTAATAGCGTTGCATTCAACATTAGCAGAAGCTTCAAAAATGGATTAAATTTGTTGTTATTATTTTTACTAATAGCCATAACATTGTCGTAAGTAGTTGCTTCACGTATAGCTTCTTCAACTGTTTGTGGACATTTGGATCGTACATATACACTGGTGTTAAGTGACAAACCATTTGCGGATAACATAACTTGTGTTAATTCGTCCATACTAGCGGTTTGACCGACAAGGCTTCGAAAAAAAATGAATGTAGTCGTGTAAGGACTGTTTTTGGCGTAATTGCAATAATTGTTGTCGAAGGTTTTCTTGAAAATCAATTGGTTGAAACTGAGATTTTAATTTATCCTTAAATTTGTTCCAAGATGATGGTACTTGATTTTTCAATTTCAAGTTGTGAAACCATTGCAAAGCAGTACCACCTAATAAACTCACAGCTAGCGAGATTTTCTCATCATCAATAATGCATCGATTTTTCATAATTTCCTCTAATGCTATCAATCAGGTAATGACATTTTCTTCACCTGTTCCATTGTATTCTTTCTATTTAACGTTTATCTTGTTAACTGATCGTGATGATGTATCAGTCGATGAATGAAGTAGCGGTGTTGTCGATGATTGTAGATGAAGTGGTGTTGAAATAAGTGCCCGTTGAGATTGAGCTTGAGCTTGAGCTTGTATTTCTTTCGTTGTTCATGCATTTCTTCGATAATGATAGCATTCATTTGAATTACTCGCTCCAATAAATTTTCTAAATTTGTACCTTCAATCAGCATTATTCGCTGCTACCAAATGTTAGCTTTTACTAAAGAATCGTTTTTATTGTTAACAGAAAACTAGAGACACGATCAAGAGAGCAGTTACAATTTTAACTCACTTTTTACAGAACAACATCATTAATCCTCTCCTCTTTTTCGCGCCTTTAATTTTTATTGAATAACACCTGTACCAACATTTTAGCTGATTAGCGTATCTGAGTGTTACTTTTTTCATGTTTTATGTCTGTGATGGGGAGAGAGGGGTGGGTGTAACGGCACCGTGCGTCGTCACGTGTCTGGTTCCTGAATTTGCGCGAGTTTTTCGCTATGTTCTTTTTCTCTCTCTCATCTTTATCGTTGTTTCTTTGTGGCGTTTTGAAACTGAATTAATTATGTTTGGCGTGTCTCGTCAGTTGACACATTTTGTTCTCTCTCTCTCTGAGAGTGTGAAATTTATTACAAAGAGCTTAAAAGATATACAATACATTATTTGATTCTATCTAAAATATCAACTATTAAAAGAATCATCATTATTCATTTTTAAATCTTAATAATTGTATGATACTAACATTGCCGAATTAACTAAACATCGCAATGGGGTACAGGGAAGCCGCAACAGCCTTGCACTTCAACTTAAACTCACTATTTTCTTCGAAAATATATGTGAATTCCACAAAATATAACAACCTGTAGTATTAAACATTCAAGGTATATTATTGAATCAGATAAACGAATAGAAGCTGTTCTTAAAAGTTCATGTGATATTTAATTACAAAAAACAAAAGTTGAAGTTCGATTTTAATTATATTAAAAACTTAATAGATTATTTTTTTCCAGCACGCGAACCTAAATGATGAAAAGAAGAGATTTTTTAATAGATTCGATGTGAAAAAATTTGAACTTATTTTTTGTTTCTCCTCAAATCGAAATCAGTTCGTAATCAAAATAAAATGAATTAAAGTTAATTTTACGTATCTAAAAAGCTAACGACTTGTGTGAAGTTACTTTAATATACTATTAAATAAATAAAACATGTTGAACGAAACAATCAGGAAAGATAATCATATAAAATTTTGAGTATCTCCTCGGCTTTTTATCGTTCAAATTGCTCTTCTCCACTAGTCGGTAAGGCTAGGTGAATTGTATCTATCCTGCCTTGATGAAGAGGAGACAACGCCAATATCTAGATTCGAACTATGACTTTATTCTCTTAACCAGCATAAACCCATTCGACTATTTTAAATACATCGACTCGATTTATTATTAATGATCTGTACTTCAATTTATGTGATTGAAGTTGCAAAACGAGATCACTCACTTTAATTCAAACTATCTTCTTTGTTCTATCAAATTTATATGTTTTTCTCAAATATTATTTGTACCTTTTTCAATTTTGGAAGTGTTATGAACATCAACGATTAGTAGAATTTAATTTTGCTATTTGTAAAACTAATAATTACGATCATTTACATTCAAGCTTGGATATTATCATTCAACAGTTCTCAAACATTGTAAAAGCATATATTATATAAAAGACAACGGATTTCATGTCATTGAAAATTACATGGAAATTCTTTCAAATAGTATAAAAGGTATTAATAGATTGACAAGCGCAAGAGAGAATTCATACAAGAATCTTATTGCCCAGGACGTAATATTTTACAAGTTTCATTATATCAGTTTTGTAGACATTGGTAATTGCTATTGATACTGAAGTTATGAATCTTTTTCAGGAAAGGATCGTTAAGAACGATGATAAACAAAATTCTAATATATCATGTAGCTACATGAAATTAGATTCATAACATCCAAAGATCTTATGCTGAATTGTTGATTTTTATTTTCAATTATAAATATACCATTATTTAGAATTAAGTTCTCTATTATATTAGTTATTAATTTATCTATTCTATCCTGCGAATACTCTACCGGGCCGTAAATGAACTGGATCGTTAAGTTGTAACTAATAGGACTGATTGTCAACTATGTCGTTTTTCAAGTTGTTGAGAGACCTACATTATAAACTATCTGTGGTTTCCAATCGGATCGTAACGTTCAAGTTCTATTATTAATTCTCTTCACTTCGATAAATGTCTGAATTATCGCTCCAGAACAGACTCATACTATCAAAGATAATATCTAACTTCAATGTTTAAGTTAATAGTGAATTTAAAAAAAAAACTCTATGATAGATTGTTAGTCGACAAAAGGTTGCTAAACAAAAAATGCATAAACTCATAGGTGACGTGTCCAAAAGCAAATGATAGCATGATCATTTTTTTAAATAGTTTCATATCTCTTAATATCGACATATTATAGCATGAGCATTATATTCAAATTATTCTTTGACAAGTCAGATGAAAAGGTAAACAACTGCTGGCCGAGAAGTTCATCTTTCTATGAATCAACGCAATTATGTATCTATAGATTATTTCATGTATTTCATAGGGAAACAGAGATGTTCCACAAATAACTGTGATCTCAAAATTTCGAATTAGTATGTATGGAAATTCATCAACGATTTTGCAATGCAGAATAACACTAACATACATCATTCTCAAATGACTGAAAGAGTGAAAGATATGGACATAGTAACAAATAATATAGGTTTTTGCATCATCAATGATTTTTTGAATGAAAAACTTCGTCTATGATTAAAATAATAGATTCCTAGATATAGAGTAATCTTCTCATTATAAGATGGCAATTTTTTTTCGATTTATCTAGTGATCTATTTCCCTTTGTTTTTCATAAAACCTATTAGGGAATGACAGCCTCACATGAAGAACAGCAATCATTTATTTTGTTAAAAGAAAAAAACGCTACATCTTCCAAATTGTATACTACGATTGCTGTATATCTTCTTCAGCAAGTGCAATTTCTTTGGATTTAGCAATCATCTGTGCCAATTCACGATCATCGATTTGAACACATTCTGTTTGTCCATGAAAATCACTTTTACTAAATCTCACGAACCACTTTTTTTCTTCTGCTTGCTCCTTCCACCAATTTTCGATTTTGGTCGTTGTTATTAGTTTTCTACGTAAATTTAACAACAATTTCATTTTATATTGCTTAAGTTCTGATGTACTATACCTTTTTAATGCATTTTCATGCTGTGTACGACCAAATTTAATTAAAGATTTCTCAACACCATCATTGTTTCCCGTTCCTGGATCAATAAGAGAAAATAAATAGAACGTATTTGGAACATTAGCTGTCCATTTAAGTCTTTCATCTGAGAATCTGTTCATATTGTTTCGATGATGAAGTACACACGAAGGACAGTAATAGTCATCAGTCAAACACTGTTCAGGTGAAGGCGCCCATTTCCGTGCACATTCAAGATCGCAACATTCATGTGCTATCCTTTTGTGCAATCCACCCCATGTTCCAGTTCGTTTGAATCTGCCATCCTTCTTTTCTTTCAAGAACTTGTCATACTATATATATATATACACAACAGAGAAAATGTTTAAGCAGATCCATGTACCTTATTGAAAAATACAATATAGATACCTTTTCCATGGTCATTTCGAGTTTTTGCTTTTTAGAATCGCTTAAGATGGCAGCATCTTTACTATTCTCTTCAAGCTCGTCTGCAGCATTTCTCCGTTTTGAGCTAGCTGTGTTAGCTGGACGAATAGAAGTCATTGTATTTTTATCAATGAGTCGTACACTTTCCACTAATTTCTAATAGAACAAATAACAATAATTATTTTAGTAATCTTATTTTATAAGAAATATAAATGACAATGTGCTTGTTCGTAAACATATGACATACTAACGATTTATTTGCATCTGAAAGAGAACACACATAGATAACAAAATATTATTGTAGTTACATACTGATTGCGTAATTTACAACGCGAGTGTTTGTTTTTTGCAAAATTCGTAAAACAACAAGAGTAACAAAGCTAGCGAACTCATTAATAAAATCTACGGCTTCATTCATTTTGAGAACAATTATATAAAACTCTAAAGTTTTCATGCATGTGCACTTCCCATGTCAATATGCAATGATACGCATACACGTAGAAATCAAAAAACGCACCAATAAGAAAAATCAATCAACGTCAACAACGCGCCATTTATTAAGAATGTGAGTAACTTACACCATATTACAACACAGGAGGAAATATTACGGTTCAAACAGTTATATATGTAAGCCTGGCATCGAGGGCATTGTACATCGAGTCTGTTTTTTGTTGTTGGTGGTGGTGGTGTCTTGCATCTTGACCAACTACTCACGAATTTTTCGTCAGTTGTTCAAAATTTTTAATTTGTCTAGTTTTCAGTAATTTATGCAAATATTTCTGTACCTTCTACCTAATAAGATACCAGTGGCGATTCTTAAGCGGGGAAAAACAACACAAATAAGCTTTTATCAAAATTCATCGTGACTTTATGTTTTTGCGCGATGAGTTTGAGTTAATTTGAACTCTCAGCAATATTCTTAGTCACATTAACACTTTATTCAAGCTCAATTCGCGGGTATATTTTCACCTATTGCCAATGAACGCAGTTTAACAATGAAATCAATCACGAATGACGCAATGTTAAAGATTCCATCCGTCATACACGATGATGTCCCTATCCATCGGGTGATGTTAATCCAAATGCGATACGAGATGCGTCAGATATTTTTCATGGTTTAATTCAACAATTATGAGAAAGAACTAAATGTTTTTGAAATCACATTTTCTTAAAGATAGGTCAAGCTATATTAGAAAGCAGTACTGGACCGACCTGTTGCCATAAGGCATTTCTATTGATTGTAAGGGCACTTGAGCTGATTTATTTTGATCGTTTTCAACGATGTCCATAGTTTTCATGTTCAACAATCACAACCTGTTAATCTTCATCATCGCAAGAAGAACACTCTGAAATGGATTTGTATGCTTTGTTGTCTACAAATCAAACAGCAAACGGGCGAAAAATAAAGCGAGCCTATTTGATCAAAGTTAAAAAAATTCAATCAGATCGAAATCCTGACAATAGCCAAGCTGAAGAACAATTAAATCAAGCTTAAGCTATTTTTTTAGATAAATTTCTACGAGAACACCGCGGCTGATTGGCCTTCGAAAGTATGAAGTAGAAGTGATCTTTTTGCATTTAATGCTTTTTATTTAACTTTGTTTCAGAAAAAATTCATGTAGTTGAACAAAGAGTCGATCAATGGTAAAAATATCATACGATCATTTCTTTAATGTTTAAATCTTTAAAATACAGAAAAGGATCAACCATAATAGATTGAAACTATTTGGAATAGATGATGAAAAAATCTTTATCTGTATTCAATTTCTAAAAGTTGAACTTGAAGAATCATTCAACAATATGAAATGTTTTTGTTTTCCAATCGTCACGAAGAGGAATGCACAATTATATCGATTACTAGGCTTGCTATGTTGATATAGCAATATCTTTGATATCTTTAGTTAGCTATTACTTGTGTCGATATTTTACATAAGATAATTTGATCATTTAGTTTCAAAGTCAAATGTTACTCGACCTAGTAAATCTTTTTTTGTTAAGCGGACAATTAAAATCTCGTTGTTTAAATCGCCAATTTATAAATTCAGTCTTTTACTATTCTATTCAGTTGGTGCTAAAGCAGATAAGACCACATGATGAGTTGACGCAACTGTTATCAGGTTTTTTTCTGCTAAAAAGAAATATACGATATGAAGACGAAATGAAAATTTCTGCGATATTGATCGGCAGTTGAAATGAGGCATTTCATCGTGTTTTTCTCCTAATAAATTAGATATCATTCTATGAATAGAATACTGTTTTAAAGTTTTAAATTGTATTATGAAAATAAACATACAAAAAATAAATAGTGAAAAAGTGAGCGTTTTTTCTTTGTCAAATTTTCTATTTTGCTTTTCTTTGATTGCAGACAAAACTGCTGAATTAATCTAGTAAAATGAATTAATAATCTATATTTTTCCTAGTTCAAGCTCTAATTGCTGAATTTTTTTATCTCTCTCGCGTAATTTTTCTTGCAATTGTTCAATAATCATCTGTTTTGTATTATTATTATGCTTTCTCATTCTCTGTTGCATTTCTCTTCCATAAATTGATAATAAATCTTCAACGCTGGGTCGATTGTCACTTTCAATAGATACTAACTGTTCAATTATGTTTGATTCAAATGGATAAGATGTTGAAAATTGTTCTTCGACTTTTACATTTACACGTAAATCATTTAGAGAACGATGTCGTTCCATCTCAGTTGAAAATATACTAAATAGTTCGAAGAGAACAATGCCTAAACTGTATGAATCTGATTTAGCCGTGGTGATACAACGGTGTGAATTAAGTTGTTCAGGTGGAGCATATAGAGCTGTACCAACACCAGTGGATTCCTCGTTTTTAAAGTGTTCAGAAGAGTCCGATGTTGATTCACAATCAAGTAAAGTAGCCAAACCAAAATCACCTAATTTAACATGAACACTTGAAACATCTTTTGAATCGTATGCAAGAAAGATATTTCGTGGTTTTATATCACGATGAATAAAATTTTGTGAGTGAAGATACTAAGAAGAAATAAAATAATAAAAGATAATGAAATAAATAAATCTTGTCTTTTAATTTTACTTCTACAGCAGTTAAAAGTTGTTTAAAAATATGCCAACATTGACGTTGACCTAAATCATTCAATGAATAAAAGACACTCTTCTTTTCATCAGGCGTATCTTGAACAATTGAATCATCACGATAACGTAACCAATCATGCAATGTTGTATCGCATACCTGCATTTGAATAAAAAGTACTATTTTAGAATCAATATAATTCGATTGCATTAGTAGATGCATAGATTGATTTCGTGTATGTAGTGGAATGAGTTCTTTGTTTGAAAATTCTTCATTGGATGTTGTTTCATAATAAGATTTTGAAATTTCACTAGTAAATTTTGAAGAAGAAAACGCCGTATGATTATCGCCATCTGAATGATATTGATGTTGACTTTGTGCATGAGAATGTTTACGATTACTTTCAAATATTGAGATCTAAATATCATTTAAATTAAATTTACGTAAGAATAATCGTATTTTACGTCAGGCAACAATAAATATTGTAGCAGATTTATATTATACATTTTATAATGCTACGAAAATGCATTTTTATCATAAATTTAAACGTCAACCTGCAAGATTAAAATTTCACTTCTTTATTGTTGTTCTTGCCTGAAATCAAGTATGAACAGTCCATGTGTATCTTTCATGAGAATCAATCTAAACTATTTGTTTTTACAAAATAGTTTATTTTGTATAAGAGCAAGTAGAAAATGCTATCGTATAAATTGTCTCTTAAAAAATATCCTTACAACGACGGCTAACAGTTTCAGAAACAAAATTGTTTTCTGGTGTAACATTGGATCGTATTGGATGTCATTTCTGTGTTTCACGAAGTTATAATTTTATAGATTTTCTATTTTATTATGTTTTAGATTATAAGTAACAAGTTCATCGCTTGTCATATTCAAAGATATTTTACTTTGAAGTTAAAATAAATGTTTGCACGCAAAATCTGTAAATATGTTTTTTGTCACAGTTGAGTTTCGTTTAAGAAATGTTTCCTAGAATTTGAAAATCATTCATATAGAATAATTTCGCTTTCTGTATTATGTATAACATGAAATTAGAGTAAAATTTCTATAACTATCAGATAACGAACACATTCTAATAGAATGGTGTCTCAAAATGTGTAACTGTGCAATAACTGAAGCAAGCAAAGCAGTACCTACAATTTTTGAATTTGTTTTGAAACAATTTCTTTGTATGTAAACTTTGATACTCGATGATTGTTTAAATATAGTCAAAAATGAACATGAACTACAATTACCTCACTTCCATCATCATCATCATCACTGACTGTTGATGTTGTGGAACTTTTTTGTGATGATTTTATTTCATCATTTTGCTTTCTGCTTTTTTGCGATGATAATGATTGTCCTTCAAATTGAATTAATTCATCACGAGAATCATATTCTTTAACTTCAGCAATAGGTATTTTTGTTCGTGTTGTTCGACGTTGACGAGCTGCAAAAGGTACTAATTCGAGCCATGCACAGTGATATTGCACTATATTAGGATGACTCAATGCTGCGAGGACTCGTACTTCCCGTAATGCTCGTTGTGCTTGACACCGAGTTCTATCTGTATTCTTATTAAAAATAATTTTTTTTATAGCATACATACGATCATCTAAACGATTTTTTGCACGAAATACAGAACCTAGATATTGGCATATGATAATGAAAAACAATTAAATGAATTTTAATATTAAAAAAGAAAAAGAACATACCAAAAGCACCTTTGCCTAATTTATCGATTTCATAAAAATCTTGAACATAACGAAAAATAACAGCATCACCAAAGCCGCTTATTGCTACCGTTCCATTGATTGGTAAAGGTAATGGTATTTTTAATTGAATCTCTTGTTGAGGAATATCAATACTAATTTTGGGTGATGGTGGTGATGACAGTAAAATTTTTTCAACATTTTTTGGTAAAACATTACTGAACATCGATCTATCTGATGATACTGGATCTTTTTGAATATTAATTAATATTGATTGAATAGCTTGTTGTAAAATTCGTACATAACTTAAAAAAATCTTTTCATGTCTTATTGATTTAGCTGATAAACACATGGATATTGGAAGCATTTTACTCTGTTCAAGAAGATTGAGTAGCTGTTCAAACAAAAGATAAGATTTAAGCGGATCATTGTCAGTTAGTTTTAATGAAAGTATTTCAAGTAGAGAAAAGAAAAGTAGTTGAAGACGCATGATTTGTTCCGTATTTACTGTTGAAACCTGATTAACCATTTGTACAGGACCACGATCAAATTGATATAATGTTTTCTTTTTATTAATACGATCAGATGATTTTGAATTCGATGACATTGTATCTGAAAGCATAAATCAATAGATGATAACTTTTTATTGCTTCATAAAACAGTTATAACAAACTCATACAACAATAATAATAATAATAATAGTAACGCTAAGAAGACTACCCATATACGAATCGTTTCTTTTTTTTTTTTGATGATTAAATTAAAATATCTTAAGACACTTTCTTTTTCTCATATTTAATTTTCACGATGAACAAGCACAAAAAAACCGAGTACAGCTAAGACAAAATATTTCAATTGAGGATAATCATTCATTAAAATTGTTACCATACCAATATATGGAAGAAATCTATAAAAAAAAAAGAATAATCTATTATCTATTAAAAATAAAGTATAAAAATACCCTCGCGCTCGACCGATAACATCTTTTTTTTCAAGCCATAATTGCCCTGGTGAATAAAGACCACGATCATCAACTTGATTATTATCGCCTTTAGTTAAAAATTTAACATAACTATCATTTCTGTTATTAATAAATGGAGAAAAAAAGCGATCATTTAGTATTGATGAGGAAAACATAAGAAACTCACTTTTCATGTATTTTAAGAACTCGGTGAACAATAGGAATATCACGTCCTTCGATACGAAATACGACAATATCTCCAGCACGAATGGGTTCTTCTTCATAATTCGTCAATAGAAGAAGATCACCACGATGAAAGGCAGGTTCCATACTACCACTATAACAATATAAAACAAGTACAATCAAATACATTATTAACTTAAATAAAAAATCAAATAAATGAACCTGAGTACAACAACAATGGGACTTTCACTTCCTGTCATTACCATAAGACCTTTCCATATCATAAGTGCAGTTGAAATAATCATACCGAAATTCAACACTTGATATATTGCCTATTTAACAATAGAAAAAAAGCTCTGATACTAAAAAGACTTCGTAATTATGATTAATTAATACTTGTCGTTTGTCCATACGTCTAAAATTATAAAAATTTAATTTATAGAATATTTTCGAATTGAATTAATCTTACTTGACATCGTCCACAAACGAAAAAATTTCCATTATATTGCTTTTGAAATGAATTAAAAATCTGAAATAAGAGCTGATGAAATAGAATTTTTAGTGTCTCAAACAAACGCTGCCATCGAATAGGTTTTTTTCCGATTTTCATAACAATAACATAGAATGACATCGAACTACAGCATTTAGTGGAAGAAGGCATGAAATGAAACTTTCGGCTGGTGCATCAGGAATGGTTTATGCAGAAAAACGAATCTGATATGTTTAATAGCAGTGACGTGACCATAAACAGAGGTCGCTATTATTCAGCGCCGTATCAATTGAATCGATTTTTCTTCATACTTCAAAATGAACAATAAGAATTAATTATCCTCTTGCCTACTTTAGTGTTATAATATGTTCTTGGCTAATATCACTTTTTAGCTTTTTTTTTATATAAGAATGCTTAGAATTTAATCAAAGTACATGTAGTATGCAAATTACAACCCAATCCTACAGTAGCCTACAATATAGACAGAGCCCGCGGGAAGGACCTAATATTGGGGAGGGGGGGGTGCACACACCCCACTTTCGCGGGCTCTGAATAGAGATACACAGCAAGCCGTAACAAACTCTAATCCACTCTCTCCCGACGACTCCCCGGGGAGCCCCTGTCGTGAGTCCCCGGGAATTTTTATTTGGGAGACTCCCTGGGGATTTCTCTGGGGAGAATTGATGAGATTGTTTTAAATAAAAAAAAAACTTTTTAACTTTTTTAAATTTTACAAAATTAAGAATTTATTAGTAATTAGATATTTCATCCATGTTGATCAGATAACTCCCCGGGGAGTCCCTGCAAAAGAACGAAATCCCTAGGGACTCCCTGGGGATTCTCCTAGAGACTCCCTGGGGATTCTCCTAGAGAGAGTTGATTAGGAAACGCTTGCCGTATTCTTATCTTTAATATAGACAAAACAAATTTATAAGTTTGAGTAGTTTCATATTTATGCCAGAAGGAATTGTTGCATTGTACATTTAAAATGTATCCTTATGACAAAAACAAAATTTTCTAAAAACCATGTGTTTTGATATAACTAAAAATATTCTATCATTTAAAATATGTTCTTGTTTAATTATAATGTTGTATGCAAGTCGGATTATTTATAAAAAGTGCATCTTTTTTTCAGAAACCTCTACAAGATAACGATTTATCTCTAGATGTATTTAAGCTGAGTCTTCGCTCTCGATGAATGTTAAGTATTTACAATATTCCGACTGAGTTAATAGAAATCGTTTATCTCGTTTCTTATCATTTAGTCTTTAAAAGTTGCCACCGCTGAATCCATTGGTTTACATCATGATTCGTCTCGAATAGACTTGTTTATTCATATCTGCATTGATTAAATCAGAACAAAAGAATTTATATATTGAAAAATGAACGAACAAAAAAACAAGATCATTAGTCTGTCTGTTGATCATCTTTTTTCATTCTTTTATTTTTTGAATGTGCTTGTTCCCATAATGCATTTCGCATAAGTCTTGTTGTTGCTTGCTTATCGATTCGTGCTGCTGTTTGTCTATCAACAACTGATTTTAACTTATCCATATAAGATTTCACTCGATCTAATTCACTTTTTAGTTGTGTTTGTTTTGGATCAACGCCACGTGTTCTTAAATAAGCCCACATTAATGAGTTGAGCGTATAAGCAGCAGTTAAATCAAAACGAGCTTGATCAAGTGGCGTAAGATTTTCGTGCAGTGCTGTATATGATACGGAATCAAGTCGAGAAAGAAATGTTTCAAGTTCATTTAAAGAACTTTCTAATTGACTTGCTCGTGCATTAAAATCAGCTTCAACTTCAGCATCGGGTCGATTAGATGTTGTTGTCATTTTATATCTTTATCTAAAATAAAAACAAGAAAAAACAGATGAACTAAAATAATAACAGTTTAAGAAAAAACACTTCAATAAAAAAACAAAACAATAACTAATTGCGTCCTCGTCCATGACCTCCGCGAGAAGATCCTCGTCCTCGACTACTACCACCACCACCACGGCCTCTGCCACGACCCCGGCCACCACGACCACCACGGCCACCGCCTCTTGGCCCACCAAAAGCACCGCCACGTCCATCAGTTGGTCGATTTTGTAAATTGTTAAGATACGTTACTGTCCGTTGAATGGCTTCAAGAAAATATTCATGGCAAAGTAGACATGCCGATGAAAGAGACAATAGATCAGGACTTTTCTCCTATATATATATATATTTATTTATTTATTTCATGTTTTTTATTCAAAAATCTCTACCTTATTAAATTCTACATCCATTAATGCGGTGTCACATTTTTCACAAAATTCACTTTTTATCGTAATCTTTTGAATAGTTTCTGGTAATGTCAAAACAAATGGACATCTAGTAAAAAAAAATTTTTTTAAATTCAATGTGAAATTTATTTTTCGAATTCGACATACTTATTACAAGCAAGACGATACTTCGGTATTGCTGATACATCTAATAGAAATATACCTTGCTTACATATATAACATGCACATACTCCATTAACTTCAAGTGAATAACGACATGTTGGATGTGTACATTCATTGCAACCAGAATTTTTATGCATATCTTTAAATGGTGGATTATTGTAACAATAAGGGCATAGAGTGAAATTCTGAATGAATCGAACAATCATTGGTAAAGAAAAATAGTTATTTACGGAGAAAAAAAATACTTTTGCATTATTATTAGCAGCATATTGAACAAGTTCAAATTCGTCTAATGGACAACGAAGTTCTTTAAAGCCTTTAATAAGACCATTTTGTGGTAGATTATATGTGTCTTTACATGTTTCACAATGTAAACGACTAGGTTTCGATTCAATTAATTTCATATAACGACGACATTTGCCACATCTAGAAAAAAAAATCGTTTTTGTTAATACATATTTAAAATAACTACGGGTAAATCATACCGAACAAATGGTTTTCCACTAGCAGCTAATGATGAAAATGATACTTCAAAAAGAGAATCCATTCCTTGAATATGCTGAACGAAATAATGAAATTTTTGTTCAAATATTCGAAGTACATGCGGAACTAATTGTTGATAATTAATGCGACCAAGAGCAATCTAGAAAAACAAAACATATTCCGAAATATTCACACGCAAAAAGAAACAGTACAAACTTCATTAAGTTCTGTTTCAACCGATGATCTCATATGAGGCAAAGATAATTCAGGGTCAATCTAATCATATGAAATCAAAATATTTAATATATATTTTTTCTTTCTGGATTTTTCTACCTTTTGATAACCATGAACAAGTACAATACCTAATGATGTTGGTATTAAACGACGTCCGTTATCAACTTTGACGTAATTTCGTTCACAAATATTATTAATATGTACTGGAATACTTGCATCTGTGCCGATACCATGTTTTTCCATTAATGAAATAAGTTCACTTTCAGTTAAATAATCTGGTGCTGTCGTATGTCGTTCATCAATTTTAATATCTTCTATTGTAAAGATTTCATTTGCTGTAAACGATGGAATAGGTTCATCATTTGATAAACGTTTCCATGACATAATAGATGTAAAACCAGGTTCAATAACATTTTTACCGGACAATGAAAATGTTTCATCTGATGCATCAAATAAAACTGTTGTTTCTTCATATACACAATCGGGACTAACCTGATGAAGGATGAAACAAAAAGAGAACTTTTTTGTATTTATTGCATTACTATACATCATACTGTTGCAATAAAATGACGGCAAACATAATCGTATATACGCCAATAATCACCACCACCAACAGCTGCTGAACTAGCTGCTTTAACTGGTGTTATTGGAGGATGATCACCAACATCTTTGCCTCGTTTTGGCGTTGTATATTGTCCTTCTGATAGAAGACTTTTTATATGAGTTTGCCAATCTGAATCTGAACAATGGGTTAATTCACGAAGAACACTCCTAAAGGAAAAGAAAAGTAACTGTGAGCAAAATTTCAATAAAACTAAACTATAAAACATGATAGATCTGTTATTCATCTTCTCAAGAAAACCATACGTGTATTGATCAATTTTGATTCAATGCGGGTTCTATGATGATTTATAGAAACGAAAATGAATTCAAATCTCTTTTAGATCATATTTTACAAAATTTTATATACATCTAATGAATGACTTTTTACTTTGTAAGACTCACTTAAGATCAGCATTTTCAGCATATTGTGTAGTTTCTGTACGTGGATAGCTGATATAACCAGAAGTATATAAACGTTCAGCAATTTGCATTGCATGATGAGGACTCATACCTAATGAAAAAATAATTATATAAAAAACCAAAACAATACGATTCTTACCAAGTCCAGCACTAGCTACTTTTAATAAATCAACAGTATTCAATGCATTTGGACGTCCCTTATGTTTCTTTTCTGTTTTAACAGATAGAACTCTAGATTAACAAAATAAGTAAAGCGTTTTAATTGTTTAGATTTTTCTTTACCGAACTTTATTTGCTGCTTTAATGTTATTAAGAAAAAAGTAGGCTATTTCTTTATCAAATACATGTCCTCGATCCCAATGAAGTTTGAAAATTTTATCATTTTTATGTTTTATCTAAAAGAAGATTCAAGACATTTATTTATTCTTATGATGAAACAATTAATTTACTTCAATAGTTAAAAGCCAATAAGGTTCCGATTGAAATGATTGTATTTTATCATGACGATCAACACAAAAACCAAGTGTTGGTGTTTGGCAAGGTCCATACGATATACAACTACTATCTAAATCTCCATATTTACCCTAGAATAGCAGGAAATAAACGAACTGGTGTCAATGATATAATACTTGAAAAAATCGAGTTTGAAATCTTGTGAATGCACAACCAATACGTAAATCAAGTTCTTGACGAGCATCAACCGATAATGATTGATTTTTATCTGGATAAGAAAGATTTTCAAATGCATAGCGAATATCTTTATCAGTAATAGAACTAAATTTTGCACGAAGAATTTTCGCCTATTTTTAAACAGAAAAAAAAACGAACTGAATCCTTCAATAATAATCAAATGATTTTTTACAAACATTTTGATTGATTGACTTGTCAATACAATCGATAACTTCAAAACAAATATTTTCTCCTTCTTTATCACAATCCAGCCATAATACAATCACATCAGCACCTCGTGATTCTTTTTCAAGAAAAGCTGGCATACGATGATTTGGTGATGCTTCTTTTTTTAATGTTTCACCAGAAAATAATTCTGCCTAATGAAACATTGTTATGGATTCAAACACTTCATGTAAAAACGTAGGATAGAAAAATCTTACTGGATCAACTTTATCCCAATTATTATAACGTGGTACAAAATCAATTCCGAATACATGCCCTGCTACGGATGTCATGCGAAAGCGTGCCGATGAATTTGATTGGTACCTTCCTGTCCATTCGTGAACACTACAAACATTATTAAAACCTTTTCGTGATGATAATTGACCATGAGATAGAATTTGTGATATGGACAAAGCCAACGAAGGCTTTTCAGCAACCATAAATATGATCATTATGATAAAAAAATCTATTTGAATTAAAAAGAAAACCTATGAAGATTGATTGGTACACTTTCTCTCTGTCGTTTTGTTTGTTTTTTTAAAAGCATAACAATGGTTTCATTTTTTTTTAACAAACAGAAAAAAGAAAAGTAAAGTAAAAGAAAAAAAAGATCGTAATGTTCTTGGCTAAATCATCTTTGATAATGTTTCAATTGATTTTACATATTTTTAATGATATCATCAATTTCTTCTTTTTTAAATAAGCGATAACCTTTAGCATCAACTGTAGCCATTTCAACATTTGTTGCGTTTAATTTTTCTTCCATAACTTGTTTCAGAATTGTTAAAACGTGTTTGCATGCTTCTGATAATTTCATAGATTTATGATAAACATCTTGAAGGGTTTGATCAGCACCTTCACTACCTGATCCAATGGCTTTAGCATCATATTCAGTATATGTACCTGATGGATCAAGATGAAATAAATGTGGACCATTTTCATCCCAGCCAGCAAATAAAAGTGCAACACCAAATGGACGTGAAATCGGTGCGACTTCATCTGAATCATCACTAAAAGCTAATGCCATATTTGATACAGATTGAGTTATTGATTCAATCGTCATTCGTTCATCGTGTGTAAACCAATGATTTTGTGCTTCAACACGTGCTTTATCAATTAAAGTTTTTGCATCAGCAATTAAACCAGACATAGCGCAACCACAACTGAAATAGACAATCAGTTATATACGAAAGAAAATTTCTTGATCAGTAACTAACTGTGCATCAACTTCAACAATTTTTTCGATACTACGTGGTTCAATCAGTACTGATGTAATACGTTTCTCCGTAGCTAAGACAACACCTAAATAAAAAGTCCAAAGTAAAATAATGAATTATAATCTATTCTAAAAATGCAATATTAGAAAATATATTGTTTTAACTATTGAAATTATTTCTTTGATTTAATCTAGCTGATATCTTTAACGGACGACGTTAATAATGCAGTATTTAAAAACATTAATTATAAGAATTCCATATGATTTTTCTTACCTTCTGGTGTCATAATTCCAATAGCTGTTGTACCAAATTTAATAGCTTCAATAGCATATTCAACTTGAAAAAGACGACCTTCAGGTGAAAATGTATTTACACCTCGATCATATTCACTTCTTGTCATAAACATTTTTGAAGATTTCTTTCTTTTTCACTTGGAGATCTCAAAGAAAGTGATGACAATGATCTAGAATGCTAACAAAAACATATATCTTTTATTTCGATCTACAATCGACCACAAAAAAAATCTCGTTTTTGTCTCTCAGATGATACGTAGGTATATATAAGTATGTAAATTATGTACAAACAACCAAAGAAGAAAAAAGAACTGATTGAATACATATGATGATGATAATAATAATGACGATGAAGAAGAAGAAGTAAAGAATGAGTTTGCTAAAAGAAAAGCAAAGGCGCGGATACACAAATGAAAACGAATTGTTTAAGATTGATGAACTTTATTGGGTAATTTTGGTATTGGTGGTAAATTAATCCAATTAACATTAACACTTGATATGCGTAAACGAAGTTTAGGAGCAAAAACACGCATATCACCTAATTTTAAACCATGTTGTTCTTCAAAGTGTTGTATAATACGGGCATATTTTTTCGATGGATCTTCCTGTTGTTGTTGTTGTTGTTGTTGTTGTTGATGATGTTGTGATGGTGGACGACTTTAATCAATAATAAGAAAATTAATATAATTTATTAATTACAATAAAAATTTACCCTCGTCGTGCTGGTACTCGTATTGTTTGTTGAAATTCTTCATCCTGTTGTTGTTGCTGTTGCTGTTGTTGCTGCTGTTGCTGTTGTTGCTGCTGTTGCTGCTGTTGTGTATCTTGATTTATATCATATTCTTCATCATCTTCATATTTTCTGTAACGTTGTTGTTGTTGTTGCTGTTGTTGTTGTTGTTGTTGTTTTGCATATTGTGATTGACGATTCATGCCAGCTGATAAATAGTCATCATCGTTCGGACGAACACGCTTTCTCATTTGTTGATCATCGTCCTCTTCATTTTCATAATATCGTTTTGTGTTTTGATAACCAGTTGATCGCTTATACGGTTGAGCTATTGTTGTATTACGAAATTGTAAACGATTTTCTTCATCAATTATTTCTTCGCCACCAGGACCTTCGATATGCTCAGTTGTTAGACCAACTTGTTTCTGAAGCAAAAACAAATAAAAAGCAGATTAGTTTGAAATTTTTTGAAAAGAAAAGCTATGTTAATACACTTTGAACATATTATAACGAACTCAATGAGTAAAGAATGAATCTGATTATACGGCGCAAACTATCTAAACTTTCAATCATTAATCTTATCATTCATTTTTCATGCGAATAAAGATTAATATTAATTATTGAGTTGTAATGATTATGTTTATCGGTGATATAGAATAGAACTTAGAAAGAACGAATATATATATATATATATGGATCAACAAACATATTCTACTGTTTTAATTCTTTGAAAATATCTAACAACGATTGTTTTCGTTTTAAGTGAAACATTTATCCGCATGTTCATTTTTTCATCGAAATTCTTTCACTTGAAAATTCCAATGCAAAAGCACATAGAAGATACAGGTCTACCGTTGGAATTACAAGCACTTAATATGTGCTATAATAATTATACGTGTCAGACTAGCATATGTAGTTTTAGATCCGATGCTGTCAGCTAAATCACTCATGCTAGATAAAATATTGCTAACTATATTCAATAAAACTAAAGTGATATAAATGAATGAATCAATTTACTTTTCCCGGTGATGTAACTTCAATTTGATTTTTTGATGAAGCATCTGCTGTTGCTTGAGTTGTTGGACTATTTGATGAGGAATCAATAGTTGCATCTTGTAAAAGCATTTTTTTCGACTCTGGTAATTGCTCATAGAAACTTGGCAACATATTACCAATATAAGATGATTTAATTGTTCCTCCTGTTGGTTTACTAGGTGGTGGCAGTGGTGGTGGTAATTTAACTGGCGACGACATTGTTTTCGTACTAGTAGTTTGAACATTTGTTTCCTCTTCATCAAGTTCTTGATCTTCTAACATATCCATTTCAGTGACAGTCGGTGCAATATCATCGTCAAGATCATCATCAACAATTGATGAACGAAGATTATTTGAACGAAAACGTTGAACAGCTATTCTAGCGGCTGTACGTCTTGGTGGTTTATTACGACGGACAATTGGTTGATGAAGGTCACCTTCTAAGCTATCATCATCTTCTTCATCTTCTTCAAAATCATCACCTGAATTAAAATCATTTGAATGACGAAATGTAACACGTTTTGATGATGCACTTGGAGGATATTCTGAGCGAGGATAAAGACGCGGTGGTGGAGGAATATTACGACGTATTTGAGGATTATTGCCACGTGTACTACTATAGGATTGTAATAAACCACCACGGCGAGGAATGATTGCTGATGGTTGACGATAAGGCGGCGCTGTTGATGACGAAGATTGGATGACTGGTCGATTGGACATTCCACCAATACCACTACTACTACTACCACCACCACCATTGCCGCCGACGCCGCCACCACTAACGACGCCACCACCACGAGATCGACGATCTTCATCAAATGATGATCGTGATGTAAACCCGCCACGAATCTATAAACAAAAATAAAGCATGAAACTTAATCAAATGAATTGAAATAGAAAATGTTACATTTTGTTGTTTTAAGCGTCGATCAATATGTCCAATAGCTAATGGATATTTTACAGGTGTATCATCATCAGCAAAATTATAATACCGATAATTATTGACTAGAGGTGCAGTCGTTGTTGAATGCGATGGTAATAATGCAAGTGGAGCGCGTTCACGTCCCGTTACCGTTCGACGTGTATTCATTCTCATGAAAACTTCATACGGGTCATAATCATCATTTGTTTGTTGACTTGTATTATTCAAATCAATAGCATCAACTTCAAGACAAAGATCAATATTAAGGCCAGCATATGGATCATAACCATCATCTGTTGTTGACATATATTCAAATGCAGCATATGATGTTGATGTTGGTTCAACTTCACATTCAAAATTTGATTCATCTTTGCGTTCTTAATAGAAAAAATTAATTCATGATAAGTCTTTTACAAAATAATTGAATGAAATACTAACCTCGAATTTCAGCATCGCGTTTTAATCTCCATCCGAGTAAAGTAAGACCTTCAGTAAGATTAGGTTGATGAAGTACGGCAGTCATCTAGAAACACATAAAGAAAACAAAACAGTGTTTAATTCTCTTTAAAAAAAAGAGATAACAACGGTTGATTTTATTTAAAAAAAAACAAAAGAACTATTCATCAATACTATCGTTATTATTATGTTTTCCGTGACGACCAGTTGTCTTATTTTTTCTTGATTCCATTTGACCAATTTTTTTATAAACCATTCGTTTTAATTGTTTATGCTTTTGTAAATGTTTCAGTTCTTGAATCTTTTGTTGTTTTTGATGTTGACTATTGCGATTTACTTGAGTTTTTTGTTTCGCTTTTAATCGATCCTTATACACTGTTGTAAACATTTTCATTATATCAGCCATCTAAATGAAAAAAAAATTAATACATTTCTTTAATGTAATTGTTAAATTAAATAAATTTTACTTTTTTCTCTTCCGGTTCTAGAACAACAGCAACCCGTTGTTTTTCTTCTATTGGATCTTTCATTGTCGTAGATTCAGCTGCTTTAGGTTTAAGATGAAATGGTAAATCACGTTGAAGTTGAGTTGGAATTTTTAGTGGACGAAATGCACGTTCTCTTCTTTCAATTGGTTTATATAGAGAATCAGCATTTGGTTCATTACGAATATTCTTATCGCGTTTAAGTTGACCAAGAGATCTGAATGAAGAAATAGTAGAATTTGAATTTTTGAAAACTAATTCTTAGTCTAATCTTTTCAATGTTAAACTATTGTAGTAACAACGTCCTATTCAAATTCATAATAATAATAATAATAATAATAAAGTATGCGTCAACTGAAACTAAATATCTAACACATAATAGATATATACGCAAATTACCGTTAATTGCCATAAAACACCATTTGTCTGTTTTTCATTTTCGAACTTGGAACAAAATTTATTTATTTCTGTTTATATGATTTACTATACTGATTATTACAAGGGGGAAAACTGATTTCTTGTGTCAGGAATCATGAGAAATTACTTAAAAGGCGTTCGGATGAAAATGAAACCCGAAAATTGATTTTGGCTATTAGAAAAACACGAGAAGCCATTAGAAATCACTAAAAATTATTTCATACTACAAGAATTCTTCAAATATACAGTAAAAAATAACATATTGATTTCTAGTGATTTTTCTAAGAGGATCCCCAAATTTGGTGATTATCCTTAAATTCCATCGATTTCTCATCGAGTTTATTAATTTCTAAACATTTTCAACGACTTTCGACAATGTGACTTTTACATATAAAACTGATTTCCTGCGATGGAAATCACTAGAAATCAGGAGAAAGCAAAGAAGTCAAAGAAATCAAGAAATCAGTTTTCCCCCTTGGATTATGATGTCCATAGCTGTTTAATTTAAATATTAACCTTGTTGTACATTTACATTATATTTAGAAACTATTATGTGCATCTCAATGGACCACAAACAGAAACTGTTTTGGACGAGTTAAGAAACTTAGAACATGATTAGTGCATACTTCATATATGAAAAAAGATAAAAGTATGCAATAATTCAAGCAAATTTTTCCAATATTCTAGAACCACCAAAATCTCGTTATTATTTGAAGGCAGAATATTTCTGTTATCTACGGTCTTTAATTCGTAGGAAAATATATTTCATGAATTTGAATAGTTAGTCAAGCAGCTACACTTTAGCAAAGGTAGTTGCTAAAAATATAGAATTGAAACAATTCACAGTAACTAAAATTTGTAATTTATATATAGAAATTTCTCAATATAAGGTTTAGAACATAATATTAAGCTCTCTAATAACAATGCCAGCACTAGTAATTACTATTAATGTATGAAAATGAAATTCATACCGAAGTCCTTGCCATTGATCTTTTTGTTCCATTGACATTAACAAATTAGTAACAGGTGTATAAAATTTTGGTACTTGCAATGGGAGCCATGCTCGGAGAAAAACAATATCTAAAAAACAAAATTCTTACGTGTTTTGATTCAATTTTCTAAATATATTTCTTACCACTGAGAAGAATTTTATCTTCAAATGTGGCACGAAAGCCACCTGGATGTTCTTTAACAAATTTTTTAATTTGTCCACGAATACCACTTACAGTTCGAATAGATGCACCTTGAAATTTAGCAACTTCCAATGATGTATTAAACATTCCCTAGATAATAAATCATTTCAATAAAATATTCTTCTATTAACGAATGAAAACTTACTTTAATAAATGCTGTCTTTTTAAAAATTTTAAATGGTGTACCAATTAATTTTAATTTTTTAACAATTTTTGTTGACTTATCTAAATCAAGTACAACACCTGTTGCTGTTACTCGAAAATCAGTCTAGAACGAATACAAAAGTAAAATATTCATGAAAAATTCTATTAGATTAATGATTTCATTTACTTTTCCTGCTGTTTGTTGAACAGCAACAAAACCTGTATTTTGTGGTGTTATAGGTCCTGAAATACAACATCTTTTCGTTTCTTTGAATTCGAAATAAATTTTGCACATACCATAAAATAAAGCATGGCAATACATATGCTGTGGTGTATATTTTAGAAGTCGATGTCTCATATTATGATCTTGCATAAAATAATATGGAATTGTTTGAAAACGTCTCCAACCAAGTGAAATAATTAATGGATCTTTGCTTTTTAATATTTTTTTATGCCATCGATGTTTTTTTAAACGAACTTGAACATATCCTGTATGAGATTCAGTTACAGGCATTCCTCCAAGAACAATTACGTAGCGTGCATCAAAATTATTAACAAATTCACATGGAATTTGTGTTAATTCGCAACGAACATACATTCCAGGACGGTAACCTTCATACAAAACGCGAAGATCATCAGGCATATTTTCAAATTCAGATCGATTTAACTAGAAGAAAAAATCAACAAATATAACATTGAGCCGATCAATATTTGAATAATACTTTTGTTTGTATTTCCACTTCTTTTTTAAGTTCATCTAAATATCCTGAATCAGGATCTTTTGATTGATCATATTCAGCATCAAATGCAGATTTTAAATTTGCTTTTTTAGTTTCAAGTTTTGTTTTTTCCTTATTATCGTCTTCATCATCTAAATAATTCAATCTCTATAGAAGACAAAAAAAAAAATTTTTTTGACTTTACTATCGGTATCCATTTGCTCATTTTCTTCTGCTGTATTCTTTTCGCCTGTTTCTAAATCCTCGAAATCCCCAAATAATTCTACAAAAATAAATAAATAAAATCTGTAAGAGAAACCAAAACAAAGGAAACAACAAACCATCATCATCGTCGTCGTCGTCTCCTATCGCATCATCTTCGGCAAGTAGATTCGCTGCATCTTTATCTTTTTCCCATTTTCCGGTTACAAAACAATCACGAATTAAATCATAAATCTAAGATAAAGACATTAGTTCTGTTTCGACGCATCAATGCGTTTTCTTTTACTTCATCAAGATCCCAATTATGTTTTTCATTCTTAGTTTTCAATGTATAATCTTCTTGATCATTGGCATTGATTCTTTTTCGTTGAGATACATGAAATAATCCACCAACTTCTACATTTTCATTATCTGAATCATTTTCTTCCAAATCAGAATTTTCATTTGTTTTATCTAGAAATAAATAAACAATCAAAACCTGAATTTGACTACATATTTCATTTTAAATTACATACTAAGATGATCACCATAGACTAGTTGTGTCCAATTGATATTTTTACTAGGAACATAACTAATAGCGAATTTCTTTGAAATATTTTCTTTCCATGAATTTCCTTAGAATAGATGAAGAAGTAAAATTTGGTAATGAAATACAATTATTATGTACCGAACTCTTCTTGTTCAGGTTCCTAACATAGAAAAATAAATATAACGATTCTATTCATTCAATCGATCGTACGCTCACTTCATCGCTATGTTCTTCTTCTTCCTCTTGCTCGTCCATATCTTCTGCGTCGTCCTCTTCTTGGTCATCATCAACCTCGTCGCCTTCATCGCTATTTGCTTCTTGTACATCATCGTCGTCAGAAGAGTCATCATTATCAACATCTTCTTCTTTTGCAAACTTCATTTTTCTTCGTTCCATTTCTTGTCTATAAACAAAATAAAATTGAAAAAGCCTTGGTTTTCGATATAATAAATTACTCTTCTTCAACTACGATTGGTTCACTATCAGCAAATAATTTGAGTTGACTTGATGCTACTTTTTCTTCAATAGTTTGTTTAGTTGATAAGATATTAGCCACATATTCATTAATTGGTCTTGTCTCAAAATAAAAATAAAAGAATTCGAAATTCTTCTTTAATTTAGTACAGAAATTTTACCTTCTCGTTATTATTTGAAGGTCGATGTGAATGTGAACCGCCCAACTCAATATAAACGGCATCCTTATCATAAACAATTCCTCCGACACCAGAAAAAGGTGCATATAAAAGTCTTTCTTTTTCATTTAAAACACGCCGAGCTTGTTTTGTTTTTGTTGATCGATCACCAGGTAATCCACATGGATCAGGTAATGCCGATATATTACTTAATTTATAATCTCCACACCCTGAAATACCGATCATTTATGGCAAAGTCAATCGGATAGTTGACATACTTGCCTGGAATATGAATTGGTGTATCTGATTTAATTGGACATCCACGAACATATCCATACAAGCAAACAGTACGACTACATAATGGATTAGTTCGAATTAATTCAGGTTCAGTAAGATCTTCCATACTATTGAGAAATTTTAAAAAAACTTTGATTTTTGAAAAGTTTTAAAAATGAAGCTTTACCGATCAGCAACAACGAATGGATGTGCTGTTTTCCATGTTGATGGTTTAAATTTCATAACGGATATGAATCTTGCAAGATTTTGAACATCCCGTTGAATATATTCACCATTTTTCATGCCAGACATGAGAAATAATTTTGCACCCTAAAATACGCAAAAAGGCTTTTGAAATGGAACGTACAAATACTGCAATTAATACTTGATAAATTTCTGTCCAAAATCGATGTTTTAATTGAGTTTTTCTTTTATTTAATTGTTTATTCATTGTTTTATACAGATCCATATGCGTCAATACACCCATAATACGTGGCAAGCCATAGACTTGAGCAATATTTAAAAACTCGAATGTTTCCATTTCAAAACCAAATTTAGCATCAATCAAAAGTAAAACCTAATCAATTTAAATTCATTAAGTATTCACGTTCTATGTACGTGAAAAAATACTTTACTAGATCAGCTATTTTAGCTACATCAATCATTGAATTAATATCATTACGACATTCAATAAATGTTATACGACGCTTTCTCCCTTAAATAATAAGAAAATATTTAGTTACACACATCAAAATAGTTTTGTTTATTTCACAGACAGATCATAGAATTACTATTAGATTAATATGACTTAGATTTCAAAATTGCTGCTATTGATTCTTTTGATCGAGCACTTCAGAAGTATTTTTGCTATAAGGCGTTGATTAGTGTGATGCAATAATCTATTACATGAAGAGAAACTGAGGGCTAACAAAAAGAAAACCTGATATTATTGAAAGATTGATGGTCAAGTTTGAACCGGTAGGCAAGCGCGTAATTTAATTTCAATCTAGATTATTTATTGCAAACGAGTTTTATGTTACACAACCATAGTGAACATTTCTTTACGAGACTACAGATGCATGCTTTGTGTTAGAATAATCACAGGCTCAAAAAATATCAGTTAAATTTTTGACACACACGTCATCATATTGCGTCTCATCAGGCGAAAAAAAACACAAGCTGAGCGAAAGGTCACTTTTAACGCTATCCATTAGATATTGTCATGTCTCAGTACTGTATTCAAGGATTGATTAAATATCGTGCGCAATTCGTTATTGTATCTATGATTTATCACGGTATTGGAAAAGGCGATTAACCATAACTATAAAACATTACGTCTCGTATGGCAACTGCATGTAGTATGCGGGTTTATGGCGAGACTTCTGCTTTTTTGATGAAATAACGTTTTGATATACTTGTATATTAAAGAGATTTTATTTATTTATTAGAAAATATATTCCGTAAAAATGATCCATCAGTCGCTGTCACTTTATGATACTGTCGCTTAAATTTAAATTCAACAAACATGTATGTCTTCAATAATTAAATTTTAATATACATATATATTTAGTCGACTTAATCAATAATCATAATATATTGCGTTAATCGAACTTCTCTTACTCAGGTGGATACAAAAATTCTAGACCTGTTTCAGAAGAGTTCATAGAAAAAAACAATTTCTAATAAACAAACCTGAAACAATAGTAACTGGCCCACGAATATCAGTTAATTTTTGCCTTGTAAAATGTTTAATTAAGCATTTCATTAATAAACTTTTGCCAACTTTCGCTGGTCCAATAAGAGCAACAACAACTGGTGGTGGTTCAAGTGGGCTTCGATCAACTTCCGGTAAATGAATCCGTTTTTCTTTGATATCTTGCGTTCTATTTTCAGAAATTATTATTTTTAATATATTATGAATGTATAAAACTACCGTTTAAATTCTTGTTGAGCTTTAATTGGATTTTGTATACTAAAAGCTTTTGGATTTCGGCGTTTAGCCTCTTCTAATGTCGATGCGGCTGACGTATTTTGTTGATCATTGTCACCTTCTTTTTTCTTTTTTTTTCTTCGTTCTGCTTTAACACCGGTGGTTTGTTTTCTGAAAGATTTATGTTTTTCATCCATCTAAAATTAAATTTCAACATAGAAAAGAATTTATTCAGATTTTCTAATAGATTGAGCTATTGATGGATCGTAAGGCTGTCCTCTAAAAGGTGATCCTTCTGCATTCCATGCTTGCTTCATTATCTCTTGATATTTCTATAAATAAAATAAAATAAAATAAACAAAGATGAAAAATAGTGAAAGAAAAAAAATGAACTTGTTCTTCGGATGTTGGTAAACCCATCGCTTTTTGACGTTGATCATACATCATCTGATGTATTTTCATTTGTTCTTCTTGACCTAAATCTTCCATAGACTTTTCAGGCTTAATATGTTTCAGACTGATTTTTTTTTCGTCGATTAAAAAATTTTCCCACCAACGCTCCAGCGTTTTTTCCATTGAAATCTGTATGAGAAAATGTAACATTTGTATAATTTTATAAAACAAACTTTATTAATTACATGAATATATTCACCAGGTACTAAACTCCATGTGGATTCCTCAGCTCGTATTGGCCATGGTAAATCACTGTCAATGATTGTTTTAATTTCATTAGATTCAATTAAATCAACTTTGATGTGCTGTTTAGTTAAATTAACTTTGATTTCTTTGCCTTTTTTTATTTGTTTTGGAATCTAAATGAATAAGCATGTACAAGACAACTAATCTTAATTCAAATTATTTCTTACTTTAACTCGCACATCAATATCACTAATAGTTTGTGTCCAACAATAAAGTTCACGTTCAGCACCATTGTATGTTTCTGGGCGAGATTGAAATTTTTTTTGTTCTCTAAATAAATTCAAATCAAGATAAATAAAGAAAAAAAATGTTTTCCTACATTGCTTCAAGTGAATCATTTTCATTCGATGATTCCTGTTCAGTTGCAGCCATTGTTTAAAAAAAATACGTTCTTTCAATATAAGAAAAGTTTTAAAGGTATATGTAAGAGTGCACGAAACTGACCGTCTAATGATAAGTCTTTGTTTATTAAATTCTATTACAATAGTTTTGATTGACTATGAGATATGAACCAATAGGTTTTTGTCAAAGTACCTCAGGAGCATTTTAACCGTTTCTTGAATAAATTTATCACTCGTAAAATTTTGATATAGAAATACTTGAAAACTAATTTTTATAGATTAATTTCAAATGTCAAGTACTGTCAAGTTAATAACGTGACACCTATCACATCAGAATTCCATTGTAGATGTCGTTATAAATTGATTTAGTTCTTACAGCTACTGCTTTACAATAACAATAGATTGAAGACCTTTTGAGTTTCTCGACAGATGAAAACTTTTTTTGAAAATCTGTTTTTCTATGAATTTCCTACAATAATTCCTATCAAAGTTGGAACTGTTTTAGTTTTTATTATTATTATTGATCTGTGCTATTAGTAATCAGGGAAAACAGTTGACTGTACCACATGGAGGGATCTAAAAAGTTTAGTAGTAGTGGTACGTATCGATCATACCGCTACTATCTATTATATACAATATTTACAATAAAAGTATTTTATAGAATTACTTATACTGAATGTATTTAAACTTTGTTTAAGTATTATTTCTTTGTAAAACTAGCAAAACTTGATAATATACAGAGCGTATGAGTACCATGAAAAGTGAACAAATATTTGCGGAAACAACAGTCAAAGAAACAGAGAAGTAAAACGATTAGAACAAGAAACACTTACATTGAAGCCAGTCGGTCAGTTACCATTATTGGTACCATCCATAGATTGTGTATCTTTATGTATCACCATTTGTTTCATATTTCGAGAAACAAAAGGGTTTTAATTTCAAGCATTTAAAGTGCAATCACTAGATATAATTCTGTCCTATCCATAATATGTTCCCATTTCGTCGACACATTGTTATTGAATAGTTTCATAACTGTACTGAAGAAATCTTGATCCGGACGAAGAAATAAAATAACAAATTACGGCAGCATTGAAATTTTTCAAGCGTAATAATATCTTCAGTAGAAAGTCTAGAAAAACGCATTCGATTACTGCACATGGCTGTTCTTTATATGCATGATTAGCTATATGAATAACAACAAAGAAAACATAGTGTCTTTGCTTCTGAATGAATACATACGTGCATATTTTCGACGCAACATATATTTCGATAAAGATGTACGCGCTCGTTGGAACGACGAAAGGAAAGTAATGTTTGTTATTTTGGTTCAAGATCAAATTAGTTAAAACAATTGGTAGAAATAGTAATCATGTTCTATTTTCACTTTCGTTTGAACTATTTAGTTGTGTTCTTATTTCTATTGTCACTATTAGTTTCTCTGATGAAATCTGTTTATTTATTTTTTATAAATTACTCTTCAATAAAAAATTTTGATGAAAACGGAAAAATGAATAATCTGTCAACGAAATGGGCCTGAACCAAATGACTATCTATGGAGAAATAATATATGGATGCTTGCCATTTGTTTTCAATGATATCGGAGCAAATAAATCAATAACATTGGTCATAAATGTTGTAAAGTTTGATTCATTCCAAGCAATTTTAATTGCATTTTCTATTTCACTATTGTACAATTTTGCATTTGCTTTGCAGTATGATAGACATGAATGTTCAAGAAAACCATGCCGATATGCAATATGATCATTTGCAGGTACTTGAATTTGAGTTGATTGAGCTATTTCACGTTGAATATAAATAACATCCCAGAAATCAACTTCAAGAAGAATATAATCGAATGATTTCAATAATTTTGAAAGTGCTGATAGACTGCATCCACAAAACAGATTAATATTAGACCATAATGCTGGTTTCCAATCATTCTTTGTTGTTGCATTGCAGATTTGGTATAAAGATAACAGATGGTGGGAAAATGGGATTGAATTCAGTGTGAATCAATTATGGTCGATAACCAGCACGAAGAATACTTTCAAGTACTGAACACTCATACGAATCAATGTCAAGTTTAAGAATTGTAAAATGTTTTGAAACATTATACTTATCAACGATATTTTGTACAGCAGATTCAGACCAAATAAAATCATGTATAATTTGAATATTATTACGGCGAGGATAAGCATTAAATAGAGACGAATCAGTGTTAGGATCAATTAGAAGTGCACTGAATGACACATTCATAGCAGTAAGAAGAGGATGAGCTGGATCATATTGACCGCCAGCCGTAGATGCAACACCAATATTTATGAGAAACGGATGTTTTGATGAAATATGAGCAACGGGATCAGTTAATTGTCATGCATTGGATGAGAGATTGCCATGCGGATAAGGACCACAAAATCCATGATCCCGATTGACATAAGGTGGTCGTTTAAATTTCTGTTCTACATTGTACCATATGTGAAGTGATTTGTTTCGAATACTAACTTTGTGATGTTGAGAACGAAACTATATGGGCATTAATATCGCTCCTAAAATGTATGTTGTTTCGAACAGTTGGGCTTTTTATTAGTGGAAACGTTTTCTTGAATGAAAGCGATGTTGTTGAAAGAGATTCTTTCAACATAATAGTAATGGTAAATGGAATGAATAGTATTGATAAATCAGTTTTTTCTTCTGTTAAATTGTACACTGATACAGCGAAAAAGGATATAGGAATTTATAATTTTCATATATCACTTATTAATTCACGAGAAAAAAGAAAACAGATAAATTTTGAAAAAAATTATTTTACTTAATTATGCAACAGTTAAATGTTTCTTCGAACTACTCGGCAATCCTCTACTTATTACATTGTTTGAACGCAAATTGCAATTCTTTTTCCATTGTTATTAAACACAAATTGAATTAGTATCTTATTGTCAACTTTGCTTCTGATATCTATGAAGCTATTTCAAATACGAAACAAACTTATACAGAAGAAGAGAAGGCAATAGAGATACATGACAACGTAAAAAATAATGGAGAAGAGATAAAAGGAAAGAAAATTAGCTTTTGATTGAATACTTAGTTGGAATTTATCCATAAAAATGTCCGATGTAAACATATTCTTCAGCATGTTCGTATTTGGTTAGATATAATTCAGAATAAAAAGAATCATCGTAAAAACTTTCATGAGTATCCTGCGAGAACGATGTTGTTATTCGTTCAGTTTCGGTCAGAAAGAAAAGAAAACACGACATTTCTATGAGAACAAACTGTTTTCTTATAAAGATTTATTTTTGCCCATCATTCCGCATCGCATCAGTTTCTAATCGAAATAGATAAATAATGAAACAAAAAGAACACAGAGCATAATTCTATAAATTTTTAATCATATTATTTAAAAAAAAGCCGTATCGTTGATCTGTTTCTAAACTTTCATTGTTTTGAATTAACATTAACTATACAACCTTACCTTGAATCTATAAAAAAGAAAAACAAACAAGATTTAAAATATTCTAGTTTATACATTTCAGAGAAATACATATCCATATTACTAGTAAGCATGTGTCTTATTTTTTCTTGCCACTCACAGTACAATTCACAGGGTCGACGTATCTATGATGATCACGACATTCATCACTGATTGATTTCAATGGCCATCCCGCTATAATGTCGAAGAACAAGAGCGCTAACAATATGTTCTATTTTCATATAAGTTTGTAAGGAAGCAACTGCTAGTGGTACCAAATTCATATCTTGATCTATCTTCCATGGATCACTATCACGTGGATAGACACGATGTTTTTGTGCACTAATTTGAATTGCATTAAATTGAATAACATGTCCATATAAACATAACGATCGATAGATAAGGATGGCCTGACTTTTCCACCAAGAACTTGCACTATATCGAGGACAACACGGAAGTAAAAAATCAAGAGCATCACGATGAAAAGCATTAAACATAGCATCCACATGATAGACTACTTGCGTAAGGAGACCATCGAAAAGAATCAGTATCATCATACCTACAATAACACCAATTGCTGGTGAAACAGAAAGAAGAAACGTATCAAAAAGTATAAAACACGGATCAATGTTAGTCCTATTATTCGAAACTTGTTGAATGTTAAGAAGAGAACGAAAATGACGAGCGATAATTAATTCATCTCCATTAGTATGGCTCGCATTCAAGAACTTTTGATAACGTGGACATACTACGTGAATATCACAATCACCAAAGTTAAAATAAGCCCAACGTCAGCCTTGGCGACGCTCTTCAACAAGTGCACTTTCATACAGCAAATTTCTAGCTGTTGTCCATGTAGTTTTACGACTCCAATTCAATTGACGTTCTTTGATGATAAAAAACACGAGGATGTGCCAATATATAATTGGATGCTGAGTGAACGCGAACCAGCGGTTGATTTTTTGATGCTGCTCCTGACCAACTAGTCGTATAAATTGAGGAGGATATTGAGAAATTTGTTCTAAAACAATTTTCTTTCCAACAGAAAACGATAACATCAGTAGTAATACTAGGAAGACATCTATCTATGCCTTGATTTCAGTTTGATTTTCACATAGCAATAAATAGATCACACGAGCAATAGTGGGTATCGATTTCGATGATTAAAAAGCTAGTTAAGTTCGAGAGAATATGTTTTGGAGATGTGGAATATCGTAAATTGTATGCAAAAGATAAAGATACTACAAGAAATAGTGATAACAATGCAGAAAAATGAAACGGTTTATGTTTAAAACTAGTAATCGGTTGATATGGAATCATTGTATTGAGCATTCCTTTACAGTAGCTATTTTTAGTTTATCGATAAGAATGAACGACAGAAAAAAGAAACCTCAATAACATGCATCTAAAATATTAATTTTATTACGACAACTAAAGAAAAAAAGAATAAGATGCTTCCGTGTCGATTCTTTCTTGCCTAACGGCTAAAAAATGTATGTTGTCGATTGACTAGTAATTACATGTGTTGAGGAAGGTCATTATAATTGTATTATTTTGCTTTTTCTCTTCCTTTTGTTTTAATGTTTTTTATTAATTATTTTAAAGCGCTTTGGAGATATCGTTCTCCTTCTTCAGTTTTATTGTAGTTGGTGTTATATTTTTGTTTTTACTATTTACAATACGTATCTGACTATTCTTTTTCTTATTTTTAATAGTGGAACGGAATGACAAGACGGTAATACTGGCCAATAAGACTTATATGTTTTGATGTGCCCGTTCCACTATTAAAAGAAAAAGAGGAAGAAAAAGAATAGTCAGATACGGATTGTAAATAGTAAAAACAAAAATATAACACCCCAGGTTAATGATTCCAGAGGACATATACTCTAGGAACCGACCGGAAAGATGTAAAAAATCACCGAATCTGGTCAGAAAGCCCAGGAAAGCGCTGGAAAATGGAAGCAGTATGCCGGTCGGTAATTGACGGATTTTTTCCGGTGTATTCCAGTCAGTTTCCTGTGCTTTCCGGCTGGAAGATGGCTGGAATACACCGGAAAAAATCCGTCAATTTCCGGCCGGAATACTGCTTCCACTTTCCAGCGATTTCCCGTGCTTTCCGGTCGTTTCCCACCGCACCTCTACGACCTGGGACCAAATAAAATAAAACTGAAGAAGGAGAAAGATATCTCCGAAACGTCTTAAAACAATTAATTATTCTAATCGGAAAATAATTAATAAAAAACATTAAAATAAAAGGAAGGGAAAAAGCAAAATAATACACGTGACTTGTAATAAGAAGTAAATCAACTAGACGCAGATAACAATATTTATTTGGATGCAGCCAGTCTGTACATCGGTTACAAATTTATTGACAATATAATATTGCAGGCGTTTTAGGGATATCAGTGTAGTTTTATGGATATGATTTTCATACTACAATTTATTTAGTAAAAGTTTTTAAATTTTATTTGCAACAGACTTTTATTCTGTCTGGAATGAATTTACTTTAAATTTAGTTTTTAAAGTCGAATTTTTTTCTTTTTAGAGCATTCCACAAGTTTATCTATAAATGATTCTGATGAAAATCTAAAAAAACAATAGCTTACGTTCTATTTACACATATTTTCGTAAGTTGCCTGATTAGAGTTTGAGTATGCATCAAAAGCTAAACGTATGCTATAGCTTAATTAGAAAGCATGAAGAGTTTCCATAAATAGTGTTTTAAATGAAAGTTTAGGCATTCATTTATTCTACACTTTAATTTGAAAATAAAACTAGGCAGTGGAGAATAGTTTTGTTGATCAAGATGGGCATAAGAAATCTGCATCATACATTAACCCAAGCTTGCAAAAACCAAAAAACAAAATACTTAGAAGAATATTTCATTCTTTTATAGCTTTGTTTGTAGAATGCTTTTGTTGTTAATAAAAAAAGAAAATTTGTATTTTTTCCATCAAAGAGAAAGTTCACCGATTCCATTAATACTTCTGACAGAATACATAATCTCAAACGGTTTAAAATTGATTATTTTCGATCTTGTATCTAGACAAAGTAGTTTCTTTAATTATTTTGTCCCACATGTGTCTGCTGGCTTTCAGTGTTCACACATTTAATTTAGTGAAATTTAGTGAGCTTCGTGACCAAGTGACAACAATTCCAGTTCTATTATATGCATCCTATGATGATAGAGACGTAGTAACGTTTGCTTTACATGTTTTGTAGAATGGTAGTGGCAACTTTCAAGTTGGAACAAACACATCTGATTTGAGTATATTCGTTTAAAAAGAAATTGGTACATCATGAATCGGAGAAACAAATTAATTCTTTTTAAGGTCACAAAATAAATCAATGATGGAGGCTACTAGAATTCATTGAAATTTATTTTTCAAAACACATCAGTGTATAAACTGAAAAACTATTATAAAATAATCAGGCTGACTGATTTTTAATTTATTTATTTTTGTATAAAACGTATTGCAAATAGATCGGTAGTATGTAGATTATATATATATGTTACAGGGGAGATTGAAATGCAGGGCTATTTAAAATAGCCCTTAGGGGAAATTGAAATTTTAATCTCCCCTAGGGCAAATTAAAATTTTATTTTTTCTGGGTTCAATTTATGAGAAAAAGTAAAGATTTTGACTTCAAAACGTGCTACATTCGCACCCACATCAACATTGGCATCTAATTATCAAGTTCCATCACATCAGTCTTTTCCAAATACCTGAATTCGCGCAAAAGACACTTATTTTATTTGTGGGTATGGATGTAGCGTGTACATGAGGGTGTGGGTGTAGGTGCGTGTATGGGTGCTAGTATTAGTGTGGATATGAATGTAATACGTTTTGAAATCAAAATCTTTACTTTTTCTCATAAATTGAACCCAGAAAAAATAAAATTTTAATTTGCCCTAGGGAAGATTAAAATTTCAATTTCCCCTAAGGGCTATTTTAAATAGCCCTGCATTTCAATCTCCCCTGTAACATATATTTTATTTCAATAAAGCATTATCACTTTTTACTATCTTCAATATTGTTCAAAAGAATGTGTTAACAAAAAATGAATTCGACTTCTTGTAGGAGCATATCGTATTTCTAGTGGTCACGAACATCTTACTATGAATCAGTAATTATCGTAAGTGTTGCGACCAAAAATAGCAAAAAATTTCAAGAAAAATTAATTAAATAGCACTCTTTAAAGAGACAGTCGATGCTTCTTGTTATTGATACTTTTTCCGAACTTTATAATTGTTCATTTGATTTTTATTTCATATTTTTCTCACATAATGAAAATTATGTACATGAATGTCGTATAGCTACTTGTCTTCATAATAGTTATTATTGTTTTCATTTTTTCTCCTGTAAACGCAACAAAGATATAACTATTAAAACTTTCAATAATGAAATTTCTTATCATTATGAGAATATTGACTTTTACTTCAATTATCACTGTCATTCACTTGTATGTGTATAAGATAAATGTCTAAGGTCATTTCACTGGCATTATTTGATAAATATGTTTAGTGTTTTTACTCCAAGAAAAAAAGTTTCGTTCGCTTCGTGTTTGGTCTTGTTGAACAGAACAAGTAGTAAGTTTATTCTGTTTTCTACCTTCCTTTATCAAAAAGGGTCACCGCACGGTCACACTGTCATTTTTCGTTCTTTCATATGCTATATCTCATATTACTAAATAACAAATAAAACATATAGGGTGCACATGCTCATCGATACATTTATTTTTCACACGATCGGTAAGTCGATGGTACATTAGTTCGTGATATAGCAACTGCTTTTCAATTGTCCGTGTACGAAATATTACGAAGAAGCAAGTTAGACAATTGGGAAGGAAATAATACGTAGTTCTATAAGAGTTACTCATGCGTTTTTATAATGACAGTAAAGATTAGGCGAGAAATAACAGTAAATCTCATTCTTTTTTTAATCATCTATTATCGAGAATATACGTCAAACCGTTAGTTGAGTTTAAAAATCATATATGAAAGGACAAAGATATATTATTTATAGTTTAGAAATATCAACATGTAAGTCCTTAGTGAAACAAAAATTTTTAAAAAGTATTAATACACGAGAGCATTTATTCATAAGCACCCAAGTTACGAATACTTGATTTAATTTTTTCTTCGCGAACAGCTCAATGAATATTGTGTTAGTAACTATCAGCAATGCATTTTCGTTCTTTTTTACTCGCATAAACTAGTGGTCGTCAAGTTTAAGATAGGTAAAATTTCTTTCCCGTTCTCTGATACATATGCTCCGCGAAAGTATTTGTCCATGAAAGAATACGAAAGTAGACGAGAGAGCCTACATGCGTACGTATAACTATTTGAGGCTTCACTTTTTTCTTTTACCCTGTTGTAAAGAACGAATGGTTTTCAGATTTTAAAATTCATACATTATAATATTCTCATAAACCTATAAAATGAACAATATTTTTCAACATGATTAAGCAAATACCAAATATTCAATAAATCTTCGTTGCAATTAACATCTAGATACATATTGTAGCCTATTAAGCATTTTTAAGTTTTTGAAAACAATATTCAAAGTATAAAGTTGTAGTTTGCTGTCAATGTTTCATGTTTTATAAGACGATTATACTTAAGATTCTTTATTTAAGTTGACCTTCAAACTTAAAATGTGGATATATGCAACAAGAGAACAAGCAAATATTTCTATGCAATTTAAAACCAGCCATTTAATTTACTTGATAATAGTTCGAACTCGTCCGGAGATAATTTAATTCACTAAATTACGCATTTATTGCTTTTGTTTCAATGAAATTCATTATTTTTATGCCCTCATTGAATGACATTACAGCAAATTATACTATTATAAAAGCAGTTTATGGAGATTGAGATGTTTGAGAAAAACGAATACAAAAACGGAACTTGTTAGATTTTCCGCGGGTGTGAATAAATCATGATTCATGGCTTTAACTTTAAGACATAAAAGGGTTGGCGCCTACTACCTTGATATCAGATCATAGTATTTTATAAACTTCAACAATTATTGATAAAATCTTCTATATTCACATATATCCATGAAAACATTTCAGAATCTATCAGAATCAAATTTCTCTTCAACTTCTCAAATTATCAGAATATATTACAGTTTGAAGGACCACCAAGATAAAGCAATTTGTTTTCGTTAACTGATGAAATTTTATTAGCAACAGATACATAAAAAAAACAAGAATAAAAATGAATATTTATTTATCAAAATCACATTATTTTTTCTATAAATATTCATCCTACTTTTGTTCTAGATCATAAACGAGCATAACAGCCGCATAATGGCCTCAAAAACTTCCCAATTTACTTTATACAAATCATTTGTAGATGCCTTCACTACAGGTCATCCTAACATGACTAAATATGTAAATAGTCTATTTAGACACAAACATTCTTTTGTTTTTAAATATAAAAAAAAAGAAAATTTCATTTTATAGGCCTGTCATTACAATGCACAATTAGAATGGAAAAAATTGAAAAATAATGAAGATTTAATTAAGAAAAATATTGAAAAATATCTTGAAGCTTCAAAAATATCTAATGAAAATGAAACGAAAGAATCTTCGTCTACTAAAAATATATCAACACAAGAGAAAATAACGACAAATGAACGCAAACGAACATTATCATCCGATGATGATGAACTTGAACCATATGAACTGAATTTAGAATCTGAATTCGTTACACCTGTTGAACCAACTTTTACTAAACGTGATTCTTCTCAACCAACTGAATTTAATGATTTAAGCAAACCATGGGTTTATCGATCTTTTGAAAGAGCTCGAGCGCGCGTTGAAGCACGTGTAGCTAAAATACAGGCACGACGTGTTGCTAGTGAAAATCGAATAAAAACACCTGCACAAGAAGCTGTTATTGAACAAATAAAAGATATATCTGAACGTATCGCTAGTTTAGTTCAAGTTAAGAATATGGGTTTATCAACAACAGATTCGAATATTACATTAAAAAAATTACTCCAACAAAAAAAAGAACGTGCATCCGAACTTCGATGCTTAATATCGAAACAACGTTCATCGGCACGTTATCGTGAAAGAAAAAAACGTTGTATTGAATCGATATGTGCAGCAGATCCTGAAGTTGCTGCTACACTTCTAAAATTTTACAAACCAACAACACTTCGTGTACAAATCGATAATGTTTGTCCAGATTTAATACAAACAATTGAAGATATTGCTCGTATTGGCGGAGCCATTGATGCAAATCCTAGATTAATTAATACTCAACCGTGTTCTTCGTTAGATGAGTTACGACAAAAAATAAAAGAGCGTAATTTTGAAATTCGACGATCGTCTAATTTTTATCGGTAAATGAAAACACCACATTGGTTTTTTTTTTCTAGTAAAAATAATTAACAAACTATTTATATACTACTAGTCTTATACCGTCGGGTATTTTTACTGAAGATGGAAAAAGACATGTCAATTCTAAAGCTGTTCGCCTTCGAAAAATTAAAGATATCGAACAATCCAAACATGAAGGTTATTGAACAAAACTAACATGACAGTATTTTCTTTCTTTTTATTTAGATTGTCATTTTGTATCTGCAACTTTACAACATATTAAAGATTTAGCTGGTACTTTTGGCAATGATTGTGTATTCTATCTTGTTGAAGATAGACGAGCTTCAGTTAGAATAGGTCGACCGTCAGCAAGAGGACATTCACCGTTTATCATGCACTTAGATTATCAAATAAGTACATCTGATTCTACACCAATACCACCTACTATTACTCATCAATTTGAACCAACGTATGTTTTATACTGAATACTTTTTGATTAGAAAAAAAAATCAGCTAATTCTCATCTAGAGTTTATGCATCGTGTGTTATTGATGAAACTGGCCTAATAGGCTTTTCAGGTCCAACATATGTATCGATTCGATCAGCTAAGCATGATCGATTTACAGTCGATCATGAAGATCTTGATTTCGATTGTGTTGTTAAATTAAAAGAATTCGAAAAAACAGCTCGTAATCATGTTGGAACTATTAAACCGATTATTATTATGGGTATTGACAGTCTTAAACCTAACGATTATACACGTTTTCCAAAGACACTTACAACAGCAATTAATAGATTTAAAAAATATAATTTGGATGCTTTCTTTATTGTAACTCAAGCGCCAGGTCAAGCAACTTTTAATGTTGCCGAACGACGTTTAGCAGTTCTATCACAAGATTTAACCGGTTTAGTTTTACCACATGATTATTTCGGTACACATTTAAATGTTAGTGGTGTAACAATTGATGCTGAAACAGAAAAATTAAATTTAAAAACAACCGGTGAGGTTCTTGCTGAAGTTTGGAGCATGGACATGATTGATCGTCATCCTGTTGTCGCACAATATATGGATCCACCATCATCAACTGATGATATGGTTAGATTAATTGATGCACAATCTACGATGGATTCAATTATTGATGAGTAAGAATTTTGAGATTAATTAAATTTAAAACAAAAAATAAATAAAGAAGAAGACCTATTGTATGTTTTGATTATTAGTATTTGTGATGAAGAAGAAGAAATTCCACTTCATCTACGCGTTAAACATATGCGATCAACACAACATCTCAATGTACTTCCAGATACAAAACCAAAACCGATTTATAACATCGATGAGTATATATCGATTTGGTAGAGAATTAATCTGATATTTACTTGTTCTTACGCATCATTTAAGATATTGGTGTGCAACACATGTTTTCCAAACTCAATATACAATTCAAATAGTTCGTTGTACGAAACCTGAATGTTGTGGTCCATGGCGTTCAAATTATATTCAAGTTTTTCCTCATCGTTTTCTTCCATCGCCTGTACCATTTGATCGTTCATCTCATGGCGTTCGATTAGCTCAACTGGAAGCATCTTTTGCTAATATGAATCCTACATCACCATATTATGGAACACTATTTCAACGTATACAATTTCATGGTATTGTTATGCAGGGAACAAACAATTTACTTTTACCATTTGACTCCTATTGCCCATCGGTACAAGCAAAACTCCAATCACGTGTATGTTCTATTTGTAAACAATATATTCCATCGCCAACTCGTTTGCGCAATCATTATAAAGTTCACCAGCAACGTTACGCATCAAATTGTATTGATTATAAATTTAATAAAGAAGAAGAACTCATTGATGAATCTGAACCATATGATCCAAATGAAATGCCTCTATGTCAAATAAATCGATTTCATAGTGGAGTTTTTCTTTTTTCCGATATGATTGAATGGATAAAATCAGATTTTGAAGATGAACCCATTGTCGAAACGAAACAAAAATCATCAGCAACAATTGCCAATGCTATGATTCGACAAGAACGACAATTACAAGAGGCTGCTGCTGCTGCTATGGGACTTAGTTCTATTACTATGGGACAACCAAAAGGAATTGAATCAGTTGCAACAATATATGTTGATGATGCATTAGATTCTACAACCGATAATACATCTTTACCTGAGATTAAAATCGAAAGTGAAACAATTACTATAATTGATGTTACAACTGAAAAGCACGATGTAAATGTATGTGATAGTATGGATCAATTAACTGTAATGGATAATCAAACAGCTTTATCTAAAAGCCAAAGTCAAGATTCACTTAATCAATACGATGATCTTAGTGACCTTATTGATAAAATTTGATTTTTTTTACAAATTTTACGTAGACATTTGTTTTTGTTTCTCTGAGTAGAAATTACTACTGTGTGGTATTATTGTATTACTGTCATTTTGCTTTCTTGTATTTAACAAATCAAAAAAAGAACATTTACAATAATAAAGAAAAAAGTGAATAAACAATTTATACATAATTTAAATTATAACATAAAAATTAAGAGAAATATTCTTGTATTACTTAAGATTCATCAAAACATGCACATTCTCTTCTTTTACATCGATCATATAAATCATTTTTAAAACATTTGAATAGAATTGTCCATATGCGTTCAACAGTATGACCAAATATTGGATTATCTGGTGTCGATTTATAAAATATCGAACGTATATCACGATGAAGCCAGTGAGAACTATTGACCTTTGTAAGGAAATAGAAGCAATAGCATTAATATTGAAAAAAAAACATATGATCTTACTGTTATTAGTTCATAGAGATATTTATAGACTTTTAAAGGTCGATCTCGTATTCGTTTACCACTTACAAGAAATTGACCACGAAACGCAACCTAAATATGAATATTTTCTTATGATTTCATTCAAGAAACATGTTGATATCTCGATTGAACTTACTGCTTGTCCACCTGGTGGACATAAGCTTTGTTCTAGCATCGACCAAACTTGCACCATTCTTGGAAAATGACCTGTTCGATGCGAACCACAATCATAATTCGTTATCATATTATTATTTATAAGTGGCATATATCCAACGGATGAATTGAATTGTTTATCTAATCGATCTAAATACCAATCAGCTAAACCTCTATTAGTAATACCTTCAACGCCTGCTTGCGAAAAAATTGTATGATTAGCAATAATATCATAATTATTAATGATATGATAAAGATAAGTACCACCTTCACGTCCTAAATTCGGTAACAATTGAATAATATCTGCTTTTAAAAGTAGTTTTAAAACTGAATTATTAACTTTAGAATTTTTATTATAAACAATAATTCGAGGATTAAGTTTTTTTAATGTTAAAACATGCCTTAAAGAGCGAATATACTGTGCAACAAAATCAATATCTTCAGAATAATAACTTAAAACAATATCGAATTGTGTTTGTAATACGATTGAATCATTGTAAGAATTGAATTCAGTGGATTTTGAATGTAAAAGTTCGGAATATTTTGTTGAAGATTTAAATGCATTGGACCATTCCGTAATATTAACAATACTTTCAATCGAGATAATAATTAGAAAACTTACGACGAAAATAATTTTTTTCATATTAAATGTATGCCATAGGTACAATCGAGTAGATTGAAATTTTATTTTCATTTCGTAAATGAATAATAGAAGAAATATGATTCGAATAGTTTTGCCTTTTTTTGAAATTTCTTCTCTACTTGATTTTACTAAATACCTATGAATAGATAGAAAAAAAAAACATTTTTCTTACGTTTGATAAGAAAAAAAGGTTAAAACTGATGAATGTGGGCGATGATATCAACAATGGGAACAGATAGATGAAGAATGAACGAATTAAGCATTATCGCCTTTCACGAATAGAAAAAAACAAGTGTCAAACAACAACATAATACATTTTTATGGTACTTATATGTTTCTAAAGGGCATAAACAAGTTGAACAACTAGATTCTATTAAAAGAAGTTTCTAATAATTGTGATGCGTTGTAAAAATAAAATGTTGATTAAATTTAAGTTAATATTCGTATACATTTAAAACTATTGCATAAGACCATCGGCGGGCCACCACGAGGTAATTGATGGCAATTACCACACCTGAAAATATTATTTGTGGCATATATCTATCAGTATATGTACATACGCCACATCCAAAACATGCCTTTCTTTTTACAAAATTAGGCATCATTATTTATTGCTACACCTCGCTATAAGATGCTGACTCGTTCATGCGTAAGGCCTAGCTAATGACTTGCTGACTTTTATAAAAAATAATCTTAGTCGTCACTAAAAGTTTGCTGGATTATAGTGATTCAAAAATGTCATAAAAGGTGCTATTTATAACTTGAAAGAATAGAAAAAGAACAAGAAGAATGCATTATGTAAAAAGAGAAGTTTATTTGAAGGGGAGAGAGCGACACATCAAAAGATGGAAAGAGAAGATCGAGATTGAGATAATAAAGAAGAAAACGCCTTTTTTTTAGCCATGGATTATAACGTGTTGTTATCTATCTTAACATGAGCGGAAGAGAACGCATAGCTCTACTTAACATAAAGAATACTTATTCTGTGCCCATACTTACTCACAAGAAATGTCTTCATTATAATAGGATATATGTTTATTTCTCACTTTTGTGGATTTCACATATATTTTCGAAGAAAATGGTGAGTCTAAGTTTGCAAGCGAGATTTTTGCGGCTCCCCATCTCCTTCCCATTACAGACATTAATGAGTTTAAAATTGTGCTAATTAGGAGCTTCACTAGTTAGGCTGCTATTTCTTCCTTTTTAATTACAGATTACACGAAAAAAGCAATGAGTCTTACTTCCGCTTTGCTTGTTGGCCACACATACACTGAAAATTGCCCCCAAACATATATGTTTGTTACTAAGAGCGGTTTCCTTTCTTTAATGTTCTTGTTTCTACCTCTTCCTTTCTTGCTCTTCTCTCTCTCTCTCGCTTCGCTGATATATGTTTTATTTTATCATTAAAGTGTGTACTTTCGATATCAAATGGAAAAAATATAAACGGTTATCAAGATTTGCTTGTTAAAAACAAAGAAGATTAAATAATAATGGTAAATAATATCGCGAAATCGCTCAATACAAATCGTTGTACTAAATAATTTTTGTTCATATAAAGATAACTTTTTGAATAAATTTGATAAATCATTCAAGTCTAGCTCTGCGTGAGTTGAGACAGAACATTTTAAATGTGTAGCTTGAGTATCCATCCCATGGAAAAAAGTTTAAAAAAAAAGAACGAATGAGAACGCGTTGTCGACATAAAAGACTGCGTTGTGAAGACACTTTTTTCGACCTTTTCAGACGCGTTTGTGTAATGAAAAACGCGTTCTAATCGTTCCATAGGAACTCATTTTTCGCGGTAAGAACGCGTTCTTATTTAGAAGAAATAAGACCATTTATTTATTGTATTTTCAACTCTGTGATGGTCTCGAACGTGTTTCTTTGCTATTCGTATAAGGTCTTAGACTGCTGGTTCCTCTATTCGAATATTTGTGTTCGCACTGAACGCGTTCCAATTCGTTTTGCTTTTACTACTGTAGAGGAGATTCGACCAGATAAACTTGTAGTTTCGAAGTAGTGAATATCTGAATGAGCTATACTTACGTATGTCTGAAGTGTTAAATTTTCTATTTGTATCCATGTTGCGAATACCGGATCAATTTTTGCGGTAAACCGCGGTATTTATCCGTTCTGCGGTAATGAGAGCCGGTAACCGGACCGGTAAAACCGCGGTTAACCGCCGATTTTCATGCGGTTTTTATTACATGGGTAGTAAACAAAATTTATTCTGACAACGAAATTTATACTTAAGACTGATCCATTGACGTTTACAATAAATGAATGAATTAAATAATAAATTAAAAAAACTTTAATTTCTTTTAAAATAGAATATTGAAAATTCAACTTTTTAATATTTTTTGACACTTATTATTAGTTTTCTAATCTAGCTTGCATTAATAAAAATTCAATGCAAAGCTGTTCAAATTCAATTAAAATTCATGTACATAGACTTAAATATTTCTTATGCGATCTAAATTCAATTACTATGATTTTTATCGAGTTTAAGTCTAATTAAATTGGTTTTAATTGAATTTGCATTGTACGATCGATTTGAGTAAATATAAAATTTTTGTTAATTTTAAAAAGTTAAATTCATTACAAATTTAAATCGACAAAAGCTAAATTTAATAGAAATTAATTAGAAATCGATGGACAATTCTGATTTTTATTATGAGCAAAAACAAGTGATGCGTTCGATGGCAAATAAAAATGTGATGAATACATTTGAGACAGGCAGTAGTATAATTTTTGCAGAATTTCTGTTTAATGTTTAAAATCAATTGAAATCTCCCCGATTACTATTTTGAAAATAAAAGAAAGGATATACGATTTGAGAATGTACATTTAAAAAAGCATTTTCTAAAAACGACTTGTCATAATGATACTTTTGAAGCTAAAATGGGAAACTCATATATGTGCATTAGCCTAATTTAGTCAACACAATGCACAAATTAAAAACTTTCTTGTAAACTATATTTACATTTCAAGATAGTTTGTCCGTCAGTTGTCAGAACAATGATTCGCTCTTTTTATTTCTGTATTTTTACAAGCATTCTTCATCATTTTCTTTAAAAACACATAGCTGTTCCATAAAACAACTACTGCAACTCTCTCTTGAGAGATATTTACTTTAAAGTAATTAGATACAGTCATTTTTATTATGTGAGCTGGGAACACTTCTACAACTGTAATTGAGAAGGTATTTTCATTTGTTAATGGTAATGAAATTACTATCATTCGACTGTTAAATCTAACTGAAAGTAGTTAATTTAGTTTGCTTGTTTTACATGTTAGTTTTATATTTCTATTAAATAGATATGTTGACATGCATGAAATAAATACTTGATTTAAAGCTCTCTAATTATAATTTTATGAAATAGAAATGAATATGAGATTAGCGAATTCGTTTGAGAAAAAAAGTTTAGGAAAAAAGAAAATCATTTATTACGAAAACTCTAGATAGATGATTACTTTGCCTAACAAGGCACTACCTTTCAGTGCATTGCAACATAAAGAAATTTATTCATGTTGACACATATTTCTTAATTGGCATAGCACTCTCGTTATATGTATTTCGATACATTTCAAGTAATGAATTCCATTAAGTTAAAATGAGCTCTTTTTCACTACATAAAAAAACGCGTCCTGAAAGTTGCTGAACAAGTTCTTCAGTATACGTTTTCAAGCGTTTTTGGAGAAAAGGGTTTTCTAACTATAAGAACGAATTACTCGCGAACAAGCTCAAACGCATACAAGTTGAAAGCGTTCGTGTGATAAAAGACGCATTCACTATTAACGCGTTCAATAAGAAAAAAACGCGTTTTTTCACGTTCATTATAAGGGATATTTTCCCATGGATATGTAGCCGGTCGTTGCATTATCATGTAATTGTAGCCATTATTTGCCATTATAATGCATTATAATGGCAAATAATGGCTACAATTACATGATAATGCAACGACCGACTACATGTGTAGAGGTGGTTATATTCATAGGTAGAGCACCATGTATCAATCGCTTCGAATTTTTAGTAAGGAGCATATTTTTATTTTTATTGATCTTGAAAGAAGATGAATCAAAATGACTATCACAAACTCGATGATTGGATATATCAGTTAGATCAAGTCGATTGAGTATCGTGAGCCAAAGTTATTGAAAATTTTTATCAGCTGGAAATCGATGAAAAGAAGAGACAGTAGACCGAATCGCTTGCTTGAGACAGACGCCACATCTTTTCACCATTTTGTAAATAGAAATGACGATTCAACTTGAAATCGTAGCTTACTCATTGCGGGCAAAACTTAAGCCAATTAGTGAAAAATGACCGCAGTTTGGAACGATTGAAATTTTATTTTCTTATTTTTATTGAGTTTCCAAACTGCGGTCATTTTTCAATTGATTAGTTATTTCGAAATTGATTCGTTATTGAGAAATTGATTATGAGTTTTTTGTAGGATTGATACATATAAAATGATGAGAAAAAAAAGTGATACTTCATTTGACACAATGGATACAAATTTCACTTCGTCAACAACTCAAAGAGGAGAAAAATCACTTTTATACAACAATTATTTATATCGATTACGACGTGAAAACCAGAATGGTTCATTCATATGCGTTTGTAGAACTAAGTCCTGTCCTCGTGTTATTACCTTAAAAAATGATGCAATCATAAAATGCGATGTTACAAGTCATAATCATGATCCAAGACTTACTGAGAATATACAAAATGTATTTACTGGATTAAAACGTCGTGTAATAACTGAGTTTGATCAACCTATAGGCAAAATTTACGACGAAGAAGTAAAAAGATTTGTGAGTACTTTAATTTTCATTTTTATACTGAATCAGTGATCTTAAACTATGTAACTTTACTTTAGCGTCGTTCAAATGGTTCAGCTGCTTCAATACCTATTTTTGAAACTTGGAAATCAACCTTATAAAAGGTTCGTAGAGCAATATTACCTCTAATGCCAACATCATTAGATTCTATTACAATACCTCAATTGATGTCATTTACTGATACTGATGAACAATTCTTATTTTGTAACTCAAATACGCCACATAAAGTTATCGCATTTGCATCGGAAACAGTATTACAAATCTTAAGTGAAAACCATCATTGGAATGCTGATGGAACTTTTCGTACAGCACCATCACTGTTTAGCCAAGCATATTATATACATGTATGGGATGAATATAGTATGAAACCAATGGTTTACTCATGCTGCCAAGATAAATCTCAAGAAACTTATATAAATTTATTTCAATCTCTAGTTCAGTATGCAGGAAAAAAATATCACTTTAAAACCATTCTCAATATTAATTGATTTTGAGCAGTCTTCAATAAATGCTATTAATAAAGTATTTCCGTCTACTAAAGTCAAATGTTGTCATTTTCATTATGCACAAAATATTTGGAAAAAACTTAAAAAATATGATTTAGTTAAATTATCAAAAGAAGAACATATTAGAAGACAAATAGCTAATATTATAAGTTTGCCTTTAGTACCAACAAACGAAATAAATAATTGCATGGAACAAATAATTGATGTTTTATGCAATATTGATTCGAAATTTGAAAAATTTACTGACTATGTATTAAATAATTATGTCGAAGATGCTCGATCTTCATCTGATATATGGAATCATTTCGATTCAATTGGTGAAAGATCTCACACTAATAGCCATGTGGAAGGTTGACATCGACAATTAAATGCACGCGTTCGAACACATCCAGATCTTTGGACGTGGTATAACGAAGCTAAATCGTCAGAAGAATCAGTTATGATTCATCACGAACAAGAACAGACTCGAAAGCGCACTGCAAGACCAATAAAAGCGAAAAATATATGCGACGATGAAAAGCTTAAGCTAGGAAAAAAGAAATGTATTCTTGATAAAGATTTTGATGCATATCAGAAAGTCTTACGAAGTATTTCTCATCGATATATAGATGTTTTACAGAATGCTAAAGATAGTAGCGACGAAGAGTAAATTTTTTTGTGTTCATGTATTAGTTGTATGAATTAATATGCATATATATATATATATATAACAATCATTTTATGTTTGTTAATTGCTTCTTGATTGAAAAGTGACCGCAGTTTGGAAACGCAATAAAAATAAGAAAATCAAATTTCAATCGTTCCAAACTGCGGTCATTTTTCACTAATTGGCTTAATTTTTGCCCGCAATTAATACGTAGCCCTTGAAACAATGCCCGTTTAGAAACGATAATCCAATCTCATTTATCAATACAATAATGAAAATCAATAATACCATCTATTCATTACAATACATTATAAAAATCGATAGTCGTAAGCTAATCAACGATTCATCATGTCGGCCTTTTATGTTCTAATCTTGTTTGAAAAGTTAATTAGTCTTAATAGTAAAGAAGAATGGTATCTTTTTTTTTCTTTTACATCACTCTGATTACATGAATATGTCATCTTCTCACGTCCTTTCCATCGTTGATTATAAGAAACCATTTAATATTGATTGGGATCAATCACTGATTATTTTTCAACAGTATTAGCTAGTAATGAAAATCTTGATCAAGGAGCATTAAAAAATGGAAATATTTTATTCAAAGATCATTTCATTTATGACATCACTATTACTCGAGATTACATAAAGAGGAAAAGGGGGCATCTCGATTCGGTCCCAATCGGTCTTTTCTCATATCGGTCCCATTGAAACATGTCTTATTTGGGTCCTTCTCACTTTGGTCCCACTCTCATTTCGGTCCCTCTCTTTTCCACGTGATGTTTTCACGAGAAAAAACAAAAGCGTTAAGCTAACTTAAAGAGAAAAATATCTAGTATATGTGCTAAAAGTTGTTATTTGTTCGACGAAATACATATAATAATTTGACTAAATCGAATAAGACTACAGTCATCAAAGTAAACATTCAAAAGCTTAAGCGAACAAGAATGGATGTATTTTACAACGACAAATCGTAATGCATTGGTACTGAATTATAAAGGCTTTCAATATACGCTCAAACGAGAACACAAGGACAATAATGAATGGCGTTGTCGTACCAGACCTTGTACAACTTCTTTATCATTAAGTCATGATAGTAAATCGATTATACGTGAACCTGATGTCCATACATGTATACCTCATTCATCTGAAGAATTTATAGTTGACGCAACTGTAGCTCGTATGAAAAAAAGAGCTGCTCAAGAAACACTACCAATTCCTCAAATTTATTCTCAAGAGATTGCTAAAATTCGTATTGATAATCCTACACTTGATACTGGAAGTTTTTTTCCATTATTGGATAGCATTGATGCTAGTCTATATCGTAGACGGGCGAAAAACTATCCAAAACTACCAACGAATGTTGAAGATTTTGTTTTACCTGATGGATGGAAGCTTGGTTTACATGGAGAGCCTTTTCTTCTTGTAGATGAAACATGTAAGATTGTTGATCTTCTTTTCTTTAACTATGAAAGAGTACTTTAGATGGTAAAAATCGACTACTTATGTTTGCATCGGATTGGAGTATTCGATTCTTAAGTTCATGTTCTCAATGGCATTCCGATGGGACTTTTAAGTGTCGTCCTCTACTGTTCGAACAGGTTTATATATTGTTTGGTTTTAATAATTTCATGATACCATGTGTTTATTGTTTGACAACAAAAAAAGATGAAAATGTTTATGTTAAAATTCTTCAACATTTATTGACGATAGCGAGTCAAAAAGGCGTTATACTTAATCCTACTCGTATTACATGTGATTTTGAATTAGCAACAATTAACGCATTTCGAGCTATATTTAATGCTGTGCACATTTCTGGATGTTTCTTCCATTACGCTCAATCACTTTGGAGAAAAGTGCAAGAACTAGGCCTCACTAGATTAGTCAATCCTTCAAATGCACGCCGATCAAGCAAATTTTCAAATGAAGCAAGAAAAAATGCGAAAGATTGGTTTATGGCGGCAATTGGTCTTGCTTTAATTCCACCAAATCTTGTTGAAAAGACATGGATAGAAGCAATGGATGAAAAAACGCCGACTCATCGTTCAAGTGTGAAATTTAACGATTATATGGTTTCGACTTATGTTGATATTACCTCGTCTCGTTATCCCATGGAATTATGGAATGTTAACGATGCTTTACGGAAAAATTTACCTCGAACAAACTATCATGTTGAGGGCTATAATGGCCGACTAGGCTCTTTATTTCCTGTTCATCCGCATTTATTTCGATTTATTGAACGCCTACGAGACGAACATGTTTATCAATATCATCTTGCTGAACAGTCAAGGGTTCATACAATAAAAAAAAATAACGGAAGATATTAATGCTCAACTTCGTACTCTTCTTAATGATCATAATATAGGTGAAATTACGGATTTAGAGTTGGCAATTTTATGTGGAAAAACAGTAAAAACAAAGCCAATAAAATAGAAAATTCTTTTCTTCGTGTCTAAAGTAATATCTTTATTTTTTATGTATTATTTCTCTCTCTGATATTAGTCTTATTCATTGTATACATGATGACTATTCAAATATATCCAATAAAATGATATCTCTCTATTAACTATTAAGTGGGGACCGAACTGAGATATCATTATTTATATCCTGATTGTTATAGGACCCAAATAAGACATGTTTGCAAGGGACCGATATGAGAAAGGACCCATTGGGACCGAACCGAGAGTAATCCAGAGGAAAATATCAGCAAAATGTTGTGCTCAAACGAAAACGTCAGTCACATAAGAGGTAACTGCATCAAAATTGATTGTATCTATCTAAACTGATTGCTTTTTTAAGTTACACACTATAATCAACATTAATAGACCAACTGATATTTTACAATCAACATGTCAAGGTGTCACTGGAAAAGGTAAACGAGTAGCATGTAAACATGTACCCGCACTATACTTCGCTCTTTTAGATTATGATGAAAATAAACTTTACGAAGCATTCACGGACCGACTTCAACAATGGCACCAACCTACTCGTAAATCATAGAAGTCAATGAATATAATTGATATTAACTTTACATCTCTAAGACACAATAAAGAAGAAGAAACCCAGTAGAATGATTCCGATAGTGGGATCCTATCGGATTCGTGTCGGAATCTTATCGGATATGGTATGGGTTTCATTAAACCGACGAAATCCTATCGGGATCCTGGTGTGGGACCTACAATCGGAACCCCAGTGTTGGAATCTGATAGGTTCCAGTGTCGGAATTTCACGGAATCCAACATACGCATTCGACCCATGTGTTCTGTTAGCACCATATGCTTGTTCATTGGTGAGTAAAAAAATGTTCTTCTCTGTCGGGTCGGTGACCAGGAATGTGATCGGATTTTGTCGGCTTGTCGGATTCCATGAAATTCGATAAGATTCACTGTTGGATTCATTCATCTAGGAAGATAAACCAAAATATTTAAAATTTCTCGAATCAGACGTTCATATACATGAAGCAACAATAACTCTACGTCAACTTCTTATAAAATATAATCAACGTAGCACAGTTGTAGCTTCTATACTTTTAGCTTGACATGTAACTGATGGTCGTTTACCACTTCCAGCACGTGTGATCAATCAAGACCCACTATCATTATTATTGCAACAAAATTTAACATATATCAGCGAAGTGAGAGAGAGAGAAGAGAGCAAGAAATAAAGAGGAAGAAACAAGAACATTAAAGAAAGGGAATCACTCTTAGCAACAAGCGTGTATGTTTGGGGGCAATTTTCATTGCATGTGTGGCCAACAAGCAAAGTGGGAATAAAGCTCATTACTTGTCCATTACAGACCATAGTAACTAGCTTATGGTACCAGTACAGACCATAGCAATCAGTTTAGGGTACCATTACAGACCATAGAAACTAGTCTCTGCCATTGTTAAATATACGAGTTAGTAATTAATATTCCATTACAGAAATAAGCAAATCGGCAATGACCTAATTATAGGTTTTGGAAATCAAGGTAGATTTTTCAGATGAGCTATTTTGAATTATTTTAGTAAACCTAAGGGATATATGTGGGTTCCACATTTTAGACCCAAAGGGGCTGCGCTAACAAGTGTTTTCTAATCATTTTCTAGCTAAGAATAATCAAAAATTGAATGATACAATTGACTAATTTTGTGAATTGAATTAATTTCGTTGATACTCGATTAAGAAGAATAGGAAATTAAAAATTTACCCTAGCTGATACATGTGGCATTATTAAATTTTATTTTAAAGTGCAAAATATCATTACTAATTAATACATGTGTTTGCATTCAGACCAAAACCGTATACTTGTAGCCATCATTAGATTTTCATTTGAGACTTTAAATGGATTGAACCTATCATATTTATTTAATATAAAATGCTCTGTAGTAGATTCTTTATCTAATAGTTTATCTTTTTCATTGCAAAACTGATAGAAATGAAAATTTATCTATGATATATCGTATGGATTCAAATTATTTCGGTGTTTAACTACGACGAGAGAGAATGATAGAAAAATCAAGGATATAACAACGAGATACGACGATGAATCGATGGTCACTGATGTTTTTATGAATAACAATCAAGAAGGAAATCTTTCATGATTTTCTCTATAATCGACTCTAACAAAACCTATGATGAGTCAAAAAACAAACTCTAAAAACTATCAATAGTAGATAGCAAGCGGCCGATTCAAGTTATGCATTAATCAGAAAATCTTTAAGTAGTATTTTGTTAGTATTACTCTGCAAGAGAAAATTTCATTTCCAGTCATTTACTGGCGCGATGATGCGTAAAGGATCAAAAAATTGCATTTAATAGTGACGTAGGTTTTATTAACGTATACAGAGCATAGAACGAAACGAGTCAAAAAACATCTGGCTCGACTCAAACAACGAGTTTTCACAAGCAGATTTTTTCAATAATAATAATAATAATTTACAATAACAAGTTTATTCAACAACAACAATACTTTACAAAATTAATAAAGTTCATAAGAATGAGGCAAGATAGAAAAAAAGACTGCAAGCTAGATTTGTCGCTTGCTGTTCTCAATGAATCGCAAGAAAATCAAATTGCGTTGACCGTTGAAGGATTTAAAATTGAGTGCATTTGAGTCACAATCTGACCGGCGGCGCTAAAGGGTTGGATAGGCCAGTTGAATATGCTGTTGTTGCCAGAACACTAGAGGATTTGTGTATTCTTCTTCCACCATAAGCGCATTATAACAATCGACCTCTTTCATACATGACTCTTTGACTGTTTCGTTCTTTTCCATTAGTTGTAACATGAACTTGCTTTTCTTTGAAGGTGGTTCACAAGGATTTTCCTCGCGTCTTACTAGATCATCGCCCATGGTAGCATGCAAAACGAAATCTCGACAGTATGCATGGTATGTTTTGATCTGCATTTTTGTTGCTCCATGTAATTGCTTGTAGTTCGGATGTAATTACAAATGACGCTCGAATATGATCATCCTCGATGATAAACATGTTGTTAAGTAGCTGAATCGCACGTTTGCAGAAAAATTTCATTCCCTAAAAGGAAGTTCAGGTGAAAATGAAAAAATCAAATACGATTCTTATTCTTATCTTCTCTCTCTTTCTTTTCTCCATTGATCATTTGCTCTCGTAGATAGGTAATACGCGGTAAAACACAATGGACAGAAGGTGAATTACCGATTTGAAGTTCTTTGAGCACATTTTTCCATCTGAAAAATAAGGAAGTAATATTACAACTATTTGTTTTCGTGGTTACTCATGTATACAGAAGCACCAACTCCAAGAGTAAAGATGAAAAATTACTCACGGCACGAGGAAAGCAATTAGCCTTTCGACCATATTGAAGTTAATCCGCTGCAGCCGCTGCCTCTGGTGATGATCCTTTAGAACATGGAAAATAATGGACTCTGCACTCATGAAGCTCTCGACCAAGTCGCATAAGGTCAGTCATCGAACTACAGATAATTGGTGAAGCGTTGCAGCTTTACTGGGATTGTTAGTGGAAGTCAGTGGATCTTCACCATTCATGCTATCGTTGATGTTCTGTTTCTCACGTTCCAATTGTCGTTCACGGTTGACATTTGCCTACAATGTAGAATAACATGAGCATAATTAAACAAGACATTTTGCCTCTCAAAGTTGTTAACTAATCGTCAGTCTATTCTCATTGAATTAGGATAGATAATTTTTAAAATGTGAGAAATTGTTAGTCAACTATGACAACCATTGCTTATGAAATTATCATTGCAGAAGAGTTCAATTCTAAAATTTAATTCATATGCTCTATTTCATCTACTATTTTAAAATTTCTTTCTCTGAGATTGCATTTGTGTTTAAATTTAAATGTATTTTTTTCTTAAAGTATTGAGCTGATTACGAAAGAAAATCTTGTCTCAAGTTGAAACTTTAGTAATGCTTACCTTTTTCACGTATTTTACAAGCGATTTACAGTCTTTGATCATATCTAGAATTGCTTTTGCGGGAGGAGGCAGAGTATCAATTGTCGTGGAAGTAAAATCAACTACATCGTCATCGACGTCGTTGTCATCATCTGATGATTCTTCCGTCTCAATATCATTTTTTGTCACTCATGTCTTCTTCATTCACTTCTGGTGAAGCTTGGACAAAAGTTCGTGTTGTTATGGTTGTCATTTCGGTTTTTTCGGAGTTATTTCTGTTCGACAAACACTCGTCGAAGTAGTTAAAATTTTGCCAGGAGAAACGATCTTCTTTTTCTTTGATATTTCTTGGTAGAAAGTTTTCCTCAGCACATTGTTCAGGCGATGAGCGACGCACAAAAGAACTCGAAAGACTATCAGTGCCTTTATGAAGTTCGATCCCTATCGGTTACGAATGTGATCTTGTCCATCAGCTCTTTTAAACCAAAGACAATCGATTGAGCTTCAAGCATCTATGAAAACGTCGAAAAGTGATGATTTTGATAGTTAGTTAACAATAGTTTACCTCCAACACATTTACTGCCGTTCTATCCTTCTATTGGAACTCTGAACAGAAGAGATCGAAATAATGATAGACACCCTTTTTAACGACAAAATGAGCAGTAGCGCCCAAATAGGAAATATTCCAATATTTATCAGACCAGATATTAGGGCTAATCGACAATCGTCAGCGGCGGCAACCAACTTGGTCTTGAGAAGATTCCGCTCGTATTGCGCAGCTCGATCCACTTCATTCCGTACAGTTCGATCAGATGGAAGAAGATCATAAATCGCCAGTTCGCCTTCCGATCGTAGATCAAGGCCTAATCAAATAAAAATAGGTCATTTAATTTTTAAAACAGTAGGGACACCGATCGTAAAACATTCTTGCAAAATTTATTTAAAGCCAGGATCCACTACGATGGAGAACGATCGCATGGAGCTAGCCACCCAGTTTGCGCACACTTTTTTAATGTCTTCCTTTTCCTTCGAGAGCACCTTGGCACCAAAAGTACTTCTAAACGGATTTCCTGAGCTGTTGGACATGAGCTGACCTACCTCGTTGCTGCTCCATTGGGTATCGATGACTCTTCGAATTCGCCGTGCGTGAGTCGTTGTAGAAGTAAGTATCGAAGTAACTATTGCAAAACCTTTAATAATACTGAATTTTGCTTCTTCTTCATCGCTTATTCGCACTGCTGGTAGACTGAATTTAGGCCAGCAAGAAGCAGTTGCACGATTGCTGGGATTTGGCAAAATTTTGTAATGGCTTTTGCGTGCCGTAGAGCATGCTTGGTGCTGGCAGACGTGTATGTCACTAGACTAGATGAAGATTGTACTGGAATAGGACATGAAACACTCGCGGACGCGTTGGACAGGTCCGGTATTGAAGTGTCGTCGGTTAAATCGATTGAGATGCTCGAAGAAAGAATAAGAAGAATACGAATACGAATACGAATACGAACAATCCAGTCGTGCATCGTCTTATTGATGACTTATATATATCCGTGATCGGTCAATTCATTGTTGTCTAACTATAATTGGTGAATATAGAACGTGACGTATTGAATACAATGAAAGTCATTGTATGTCATCCATTATTGTCTATTAGACGTCGTCAAATCATCGCCGTTTATTCGTCGTATTTTTTGTTCGATTAATTCACTGCAATGAATGAAATTTGTATCATTTCAATGCAATGACTGATAATACCGGTCAATGTCGTGAAGCAGTTGAAAGAAACACAATGAAAACTTTAAAGATACCGAGCCTCTCAAATCAAACTCGATTCGACTCGACGCGACTCGGTTTCGGTCTATGATACAGAGATCATGTAGGAAACGGAAAAGCTTCATTCGCATTGTATGCTGTAGTCTACTTGCATAAAAGAACTATCGTTGCATCATCATACTGTTCTTACGTGTAAGGTAGTAAAATAATAGAATTTTACTGATTTAAACGCCTCAGTTAATAAGAATATGATACAAGCCGAGAAGAATTTTCATTCTTGAGTGGCGAGGCATGCTCGTAGCAGTATATTAAAACATAAGATATAGAAAACCAACAATAGATTAGTTTTTCGAATTCATTATACGCTTAAGTAGATGAAATGTGCTATTATTTATTCCTGCTGAAGAGGATTGCTTAACAAATGTATAATATGTTAATATTGATTTTTAAATATTTCCCGATGGAAAAGCATCTTTCAAGATTCGGATACATAGTGGAGAAGAAGAGACTGAGAGTCTGAGTGTCGAGTCAAAAACAGAAAGAACTGTGAATATTCAAGCAGTATTTTAAACTTTTTTCATTGATACAGCTAGTGGAATCATGCTAGTGGTATATCAGCTGTATTGATCAATTTGAGTTCATAATGTGATTGTTCTTGTTTCTACTTGAAATTTCTTGTAGATCGAGCGTTGAAAAAGTTTTCACTAGTATCTACATGTTTTTCTCTGTAATGATTCGAATTTTCTAAAACAAAACAGAAATTTCTCAAATTAATCAATAGAAAAAGGAACATTTTATTAGTAATTAGCGTTGGAACGAACATGTTTACGACTTACTCGAATTCTGTATACAGATACCCTGCGTAAGCCTGAAATGATTATTACAGCCATGACAGTAAAGTAACAATAATAATATTTGCTAAAACGTCGTATGTTTTTTAGTTTAATGTTTATCTATAGAAACAGCGATTACTATTGTGAAAATCTTGGATTCAACAATGAGCTAAACATTTAGATTAGTCCACTTGTTAAGACATAATAAAATGACAATAACTAGCATTTATATATATTGATAAAGAACCTGAGAATAAAGATTATTAGCTCCGCTTCAATATTTACATATGACATTCTAAACGATCATATGAACTTAATTCTAAATTTCAAGTGTATCTTGTCATATCGTATGTAAACAATATGAATGACCGTAAGTTATTTTATATGATCTAGCATATTATCGCATTCAAAGAATTTTCTTTTCCATCAGGAGAATAGATACTACTTACTCGTTCCATTTCATAAACATATAAAATGCAGGGGTCGCAGCAGCACTACTTTCCTAATTTTTAAAACTAGCATCCGCTGACTGGAATGAATTACTGAAAATAATCAACACGCGACTTCTTTCTCCGCAATAGTCTACCTATCTTCCTTTTAAGCCAATCGTGAGTGTTTTTTAACTGTTAAATGAAAAAGAATTTCACAAATTTCATTTATTTATTATTCACCACTTTAAAATTCAATTCATTTGTGGGACGCTCGAAGTGTTTCTTCAGGTCGCCCCAATCCGCATTACGACAGTTGAGTTCGTTAGTATTACGAACAATACAAATGAAAGTGCATTTGTCCTTTCCAACCTTCGGCCAGCGGGAACACGGTACTCCATATTGAATCAACTTTTATAGCCACTTTGGCGAGAAATGAGTATTGTTTGGCATTGATTATGCGTAAATAGTAATTATCAAATGCTGAAAGAATGGCGTGTCTTACTGAACGTGAACCGGACCTGAATCCAGTTGATAAAACCTTTTTTGACCCTGACTCGGCGAATTCGTACGTTGATAGTGTCAAAAAAATATTCAAATCGGAAAGGTTGGGCCTGGGCCCAACTTGGTCCGGGGCCAACCCGACAAGCTCTACTTACCGGCGTCATTGTTTATTGAATGTCGCATCTTTTTTTGTATGTCTATGCTAGTTGTCAAATCTTTGTAACGAAATGAATCATAGTCAAAATATCAAATAAGCCACTCGGACAATGATCAAAGCATCGATCACATAGTGTCAGAAAAGCCTACTGTGTGTATGAACAATGCAACAAGTGAACATACTTGAAACGAGTAACGTAATGGCACAACTAGACATGAATTGACTATTTAACATTCCAGGAGTGAATAACCGTTTTACAGAACAGAGAACGATGACAGCACAGAAAAACCAGCTTTCATAAGAAAAGCTTTTTAATAGTGTTTCTTAGCACGAAATCTTGAAAGATAAGAGATCATTTTTATTCTCCCTATTATTACATAATTTAGTATGAGAAATAAACAACAAAGATAGACAAAAGAACTGAAAACAAAAGTCTTTAGTTAGATGCGTTTTCCTTGACGGAAAGATGCGTAAAAGTTCAATATTTATGATGAATATTTACTAATCCTGATTTATGAGTAAAAATTCTGATTTTTTCTTTGGAATTCTTGTCCTGATTCCTGATTTTGCATATTAGACCTCTGCGACCCCTGAAAATGTTATCTTCACTGTTTAATAAATATTTCCTGCTCCAACAATTGATTGGATTCATGTACATAAACAGAAAAAAATGTTCTTTTTTTCAAATGAAGATCACCAATTCATTTGTTGCTAAGTTCAAAATGTAAAATCTAACTACTTGATAATTACAAACCATTCACAAGTAACTTAGAAGTATATGGCTATCGTTTTTCTTGACATCATACGGCTGCATCCAATCAGACCGTACCGTTTGGTTTAATTTTAAGAGTGGAATATCTCTTTCTATTCACGGTGTTGAAATACTTGTTGATTTATTGATCGAAAATTTGATTTTGTGATTAAAGACTTTCATGAAATTATTTCGATAAAATATACACAACCTACGCATCATCCACTGCTAATTTTGTTTCTTACTCATTGTACTTAGCTATATGCCAGTCAAGCAAAGAGAAAAGTGTAAAATTCTGAACAGATCTCATAGTCTCAAGCATATTATAAGACATTGGTCTGTCATCAAGCGTAGAGAAAACTTGGTTGAACCAGTCTAACTTAAGTGAACGAAAAAGCGTCTGAACAAACAGATGCCTGTTTACTCGTAATATTGATGTATTAATACAATATTTTCGTATCAATTATATGCAGCAAAAATATTCTTGTAGATGATTATAACTTCTAAAGACAAAAGATTTTATTTATCTGCAATTTAATGTCTACACAAAATGAAAAAAAACAATTTTCGAACGAAGATTGCTAAGAAAACAATGGATCTTTAGAAATAATTTCGTTTTTTCTCGATTCACAATAATATGTTTTTGATTGCTTATTCATATAATACGCGTGTGGTAAGAAATTTGCATGAATTGTATTTAGAGTCATATATTCTGCAGACTGAAAATATCATATCAGGGAGAGTTAGACAGCAACTCGATGTATACAATCAATATTGATGATAATTGTTTGATAATGGAATTCTTGCCCTTTTAAGAATAGCATACATCACTTATAAATGATGAATCTAATGAGAAAAAGATTACTATAATTATCTACATGGAACATCAGTATCTTCGTATCTATTGATTTATAGAAGCACAACTTGGTTGAATAACAAGACGGTCTATGAATATTTCCAATTTTATTTTCGAATTTATATGCACAAGTAATATCTGCTCGAATCATCTAAAAATCTGCTTTTCTTTCAATAGATAGATATGTATTCTCTCATCGGCATTCTTTCACATACGTATATGTCTATCTCAGTCTTATGATGAAGAAAAAACCTTATGCTATCTATATTAACCTATACAACCTCACAAAAGAAAAACAACTTAACAAAAAAAACAAAAATATTCAACAAAAACAAAAATAAAAAAATAACTAAATAGATGCGAATAACACGCGACAAGATAGCGAAGATATAAGTTTACTTTTTTTTGTAAAAGCAAATTTTATTTAAAATACATATAAACATTATTTATTTATTTGGCAGTCATAGAAAGCGAATGAGCATCGATTCGAGCTTGCTCTTCACGTAATTGATTTAATGTTTCATTAACAATAATTGTTTCTTTTTTTACACATTGACTTTTACGTTTATTTTTTCCTTCTTTCATTTGGTATGTTGATATTCCATTTAATCGTTGTCGACTTCGATCTATGAATAGAAAACAAATTGAAATCATCAAAAATAATTTTTTGAAAGAAATCAACTGACTTAAATCAGTTTTTGATAGAGACACAATCCCACTATGGTCTCCTTCAAATACATCATCTTCAAACATTGAATCATTATCGATCAATGAGTCTAAATAGTACAAAATGTAGTCCACCATCGCATTTAAAATTATTCATTATGTCATACCAGATAGGAGTGACATGGAATGTGACGATTGAGATTTTTCATGTTTTAACTCTCCAATATCAAAATTTAAATCAATGGCTGAATCATTTTTTAAACGTTTTTGTTCATTTGTTAAATCATTTAAGACTCTTTTTATACAAGATGACATCTGGAATAAAAAAAAAAAAGGAACTACACGCAAGTAAATCTCAATGCTTATTTCTACATCGTAGTCATAACATTTAAACGTAAAAATGCGACAGATACCGACTAGTTTAGAAAAAATACATAAAAAGGTATCATATCAACACAGACAAATGAATGACAATGAAAAAAGAACAGATTCACTATTGATGAATGACTCAAAAAAAAATAAGAATAATGACTAATTTTTCGATCCCTTTATATAATTCACACGGGTTTTCTTTCTCTTATGCGCAGTTTTGCTCTGTTATTCCGTGTATCTGACACTACGCAGAAGAAAAACACGATGAAAATATTGCAATTTTTATCAGTTAAGACTGATTAACCGCTTGCAAAATTTCGTTCGTTTTTAGGAGTGTTACTGGTAACGGTAATTCTAAATGGAAAAGAAAATAAGAAACAGAGACTTCCTTTTTTTCGAACTGTGGAAATAGAAAAATGTTACCAGCTGATAATAAGCCACTTTCTTTCGCATATTTTTCCCATTTATCATCATCCTCAGGTAATGTTAACCAACGTTCATGAGTGCATGAATCTTCCAATTTTCGTAAATCACAATACAATTGATAGTCCTATTTTAAAATGTTATGAATACATTCAATGAGCAAAAATAAAGGGTTGATCAATCAATGAGACAAAAAAATCGGGCACACACCTCAAAGTAAGCATGCCGGAGAGTACTGGTAGCAGCGAGTCGATGTCCAGCGTTGACTTGAAGCAAATAATTAGAAATCAGATCAATAGCTAAAATAATCGGGTATTATCATGCAATTAATTGTCAAAAAAAAGATTAGAATTTAACATGCAATTCAAAAATCATTGCTTGTGCAAATCAATTTTCAAACAAAAGAAAGGAAATGAAATTTTAACCTGAAGCCATGGTTGTAAGAAGACTTTATTAGTATGCAATCGTTTTTTACTATCCAATTCTAACAATCTTTCGAGAAAATGTAAAGCTATGAAAATGCAAATTTCATTTGGAAAGTTTTAGTTTTAGTATTTTAAAAATTGGTAAATCAAGGTAAGCATACCTTCACTAGATATATCTTTCCATGGATCTTCTGGAAACATAAAATTCGCATTCCGAATTTGCTAAAGAGAAACAAAATGGAAAAATTAAAAATAATCAATCACATTTATAATATAATTACATCTTCTATTTCTTCGTCTTCATTAAATGGAAAAGTACCACTTAACCTAAAAATAATTAGAAAACAAATATTTTGATAAATTAGAACTAACTAACTGAATTCTTTGAGAGAAATGTATTTTCTTTTTTTCATTTAAGATAAGCAAACAACTGTTCATACTTACGAAACATAAATAATGACACCACATGACCACATATCCAATGAACGATTATAACCTTTTTCCAGTCGAATTTCAGGTTTTAATGCTTCTGGAGCTAAAAAAAAGTAAAGAAGAACAATTTTTTTGCAATTTAGAAACTTGCTTAATCACTGTCATTGCAAAAAATAAACTGATGTTTTTTAAAACCTAACCTTAATCTTCATTGATGTGCTACTCATTTTCATTTTTCTAGTTAGTCATTGAAAGATTTAGTACCATATAATTCGACTTATAAGTAGATTACATAATATACAAGAAAATTCTTTTGCATTATTTTGAATATTTTTTTTTCCCAGGTCGAACAGTCCGGCCTGGAAACGCCGGTTCCGGGTAATTCCGTTGATTTTGTAGAAGCAGTATTCCGGTTGGAAAATTTTCGGATTTTTTTCCGGTGATTTTCGATCAATTCCTGCCGGAAAACACCGGAACCTGGCAGAAATCCGCGGGAAAAGTCCGGTCGTATTTTTGGCCGGAATACTGCTTCCATGTTCCAGCGATTTCTCGTGTTTTTCTGCAGGATATGATGACTTCCCACATATTCCCTGAAGTATCCTACGGGATCCGGTGGCCGGAATGTTCGACCTAGGTTATTGTGTTTTTCATCAATTTTTTAAATGATTAGTTTCATCAATGGATTCATATAATTACATGTCCATAAAGTATCTTTAACATTATCGCAATATTTTTATGTCATACTTAAGCTGCATTCATGACATACTCGGAAAAAGTTAGTCATGAGTGTGTTCCCATTACAGTTCTTATATTTGTCCTGGGAGAAATGCAAATATTAGAAAATATTGTTACTTCTGTCATAGATAACGTGTCATTTTCATTTTCATATTGATTCATATTACTTAACTAAAAACTTCCGCCAAGAGACTAATGACTATAAATAATCTGAGGCACACGAAAGTTAAATACAATAATGACATCACCAAGAAAACAAAACAAAAAACATACGTAGATAAGCGGGTGTTCCAACAATAGAACGACGAAATGATCGTTCTCCTATAATTCTGGCAAAACCAAAATCACATAATTTTGTTTGTGGAAAATCTTGTGATTGAGCCAATAGAACTAATTGAATTAGAAGAAAACAAAACTATACTTAGGAAATTATTGAATTCAATGTAACCAACTATTTTCTGGTTTTAAATCACAATGTACAATTGATTTGCTATGTAAATATCTTAATGCAACAAGAACCTAATTATTCAAAAAAAAGAAAGAAATATTCTTTTTTATTTTTAAGAAAATAAAAGAAATTAACATTCAGTACTTGATAAATTAAAAATTTTGCTTGTCGTTCATTAAGCCGTTTTGTTGGCTGCGATAAAACCATTTCAAGCATATCTGAGTTTAATTTTTCCATTACCAAATAAAACTAAACAAGAAGTTATGATTTTAATATTATTTTGTTTTTCTTCGTATTTCAAATTACTTTTCCTGGTGTATCAAACATTGCATGCAATTTAATCACACCTGGATGTGATACTTCTTGTAAAATATCAACTTCATGATGGATTTTCTCTTCTTGTTCATTAAAACGTGTTTTATCAATAACTTTAATTGCAACTTGTTCATTGTTTTCCAATGAATGACCTCCATATACTGTTCCAAATTGTCCACTACCAAGTACTTCAATTGGATTTATTCTATATAATTCATTAATATCCCGATTTTGTGATCGTGATGAAATTATTGTAAATACATTTTTTATTTCACTTCCATCATTATTATAAGCTAATAGTGCTTGTCTGATTTGTGTATAAGCATTTCTTGCATGCTGGGATGAATGTGATAAGTCATATTTCTTCAAAAGAAAAAGAAAAAGAAATTATTTCTTTAGCAAATGTATTTTTATGTTGTTGTTCTTACTCTATTTCTTGCTCGTTTACATCCGCAATAGTAAATATTTTGCTGAGTTCTTATTTCAAAATAATGTCCTCTATCATCATTCGTATTTAATTGTAATAAAACATGTTCCAATACTATTTCGCGAGAAAATTTATTTGTTGTTTCATTCGGATACATTGTTATGCATCTTGTTAAAGCAAATGAAAATTTTAAAAGATAAGAAAAAAAGTCGCTTATTTAACATACGAAGCATCAACACGCCAATAATATTTTTTTTCTGTTAAGATTTCTTTATCTGTTGTATGTACCATCCAACCTTCCCAAAACAGAGCCCCGCCATTAGCCTTTTTTATATGTTTTATGCTCTGAACAAGTCGTTGAGCACGAATGTTTCCATGACGAGAATTTTCATTATCATCGTCTTCGTCTGCTTGTGCATTTGTTGGTGAACCAGATAAACTTTGTAATTTTTCAGCCACTGCTAAATCATCAATTGTCTCGCGTGATGCATCATCCTCATCTATCCAAAGAAGAAAAATCGCGTTTAATTTTCTTATACTTAATTAGGTTTTTTTTCGTCTATTACCCTGGTTACTATTTTGTACTGGTGTTCCTCGACAATTTTTCATCGCTTTTGGTATACATTTTTTATGTACACTCATTTTACAATCTAGAAATAAATCTCATATAGAATTTAAAAACACAGCAACACATGCTAAATTTATTTAACGTACCTTTACAGCGGTATCCTTGCTTAACGAGACCTTTTAATAGACGTTTACAGATATGGCATATTGTTGGTGAACGATAACTGTGTACATAAAAGCAATGTGGTAATGCTGTTGCTATTTCCACGCCAGTTACTGTTAAACGTTTTTTTAGATCATCGACAATCTATACAATAATAGGAAACATCAATCTTTTGAATCAAACGAAGAAAAACCAAACACTTTGCACTTCAGCATACTTCAACATTTGAGTGTGAGTGAGATTTGATCGAGTATATGATTTTGATTACCAAACTAATATATTAATGACTGACATTGTTTATAGACTTGAAATAGCTATAAATTTCTAGAGTATACTTTATATATCCCCTTGCAGAGCATTGATAATTGTATTTTCCCGATTATTTTTGAGTTCGTCAAGTTTTTATCCTGAGAACGTTCTTATGAAAATAAAAATATTTCGACATCATTCCAACATTGTATTTCATTCTAATATTAAAATGAAGTTTTGCTTAAATATTTTAATTATTTCTTCTTATGGCACATAATATTATTTCTCATACTATGTGTTTTGAATGCAACAACATTTTAAATTCATTTGGAAATTTCCAAATCTCTGATACGATTCTCTTAACGTTGAATAAAAAGCGAATATCATCAATACTTACAGTATCATTATGTGAACATGCCACATCAGATATCTTTCTTGTCATAGGCGAACAGTTATCAGGTAGATCTGATACGCATCGTTTATGGAAATTACGACTACATCCTATCATGGCAATGAATTAGATTTCAATAAAAAATCGAGACAAATAAGATATTAATTGAACAGTTTACCTTCACATTTCATTCCTTGTTTATAGAGACCGAATAAAAATTGTCCACATAAATCACAAAATGTTGGTGATAAATAAGTGTGCAAACTGAGTACATGCGCAACAAGACCACCATATTCATTCATGATGTACGCTAAAACACAAACAAATATAAGAAACAAATCGATCATACAATGTGTATTAATGAGAATATGAAATCTAGATTAGTCGATTCATCAAATCTGACTAAGAACGATAGAGAGAAAAGAAGGTTTCATTTACAATTTTCTTGTCGATAAGTATGAAAATGTAACACTTCCTTTTTTTCTCTTCTTCTGATTTTAACTTATTGGATCACTAAGAGCTACTTTTAAAGAATAACAACAATAGAAAACATAACTCGTCTGGAGTTAAATGAATGTAAACCCTTTTAACAAATAGTCTATGTATATATTTCAATAATTTGCGAAAACGATCATCAGGGTATAATCAAATTGACTATATAAGCGGATAAACAACAACAACAACAACAAGAAGAAGAATTCTTACTGACAGAAGCTAATCTTTTTTTTCTTCTTCTCTGTTCGTTTTCCCTATGACATGATTTTATTAAATCATCGCTCGAAATACTACAACGACAATGGTTACAATCAAGAACTACTTTATTCCCTTTCTCCAACGCGCTTATCAAACTATTGATCAATGGTTTTGTAGAAAACATAAATGAGAACGATCCATTTATATTTTTCTCTTTCTCTCTGTTTTGCTCTTATAGTTGTTGTTATTCGACACCAGGCATAATACCGGGCAATAGTATAGTTACAGAAATACCACTACAAGCAAATAGACATTTCCTCTTTGCCTATTATGTTTTTTTAGCTCTCCTGTAACGGCTAGTCGGTAGACACGTGTTGTCTTTACTATTGTCGACATCAGCTAAATTGGCATGTGTATGAAGAGCGAACAATCGTGTGATACAAATCCGCTATTGCTGTTAGCTAGATTGAGAAGAAAAACAAAAGAAGAAAGCATAAATCAAGGTTATTCACACATATAGATCATTAGCGTACATTTATTGAATTTACTCGCACAAAGCAATAAAAACAAAATTTAATCAGAATACTATTACTGAGATGACAAGAAAGAAAGAATTACTAGAGTTAAATGAAATACTTATCGTTGCCCCAATCAACATAGAATAGACTTACAAATACTGCAAATACCTCACATGCTTTTGATTAAAAGGGAACAAATGAAGACATACCGAATAGAATGAATATGACTAGTCAAAAACAAAGAAAGAAAACGATGATAATAAACAAGAAATCGGGAGAACATACAGCAAAACGAAAGTAATGTCAAATTCTAACAGAAAAACAACTAAATGGCAGCTACCATTATTACTCTTCTAAAAATAAACTATGCTAATAAACCTGTTAAGTTCTACATTCTGGTACTATGTTCTAAAGTCATATCAACTTTCACAATTTTCGGACTAAATACTTCTCAAGAGTGAGACATTTTGACTAGCCGTGAGAAGACTGACAATGCTTTACTGACGAGTCAAATCGAAAACACTTAGTAAGACGAATTTTTCTAAATGATAGACATGGTGAATCATGCATGTCACACTAGTTTTTTCTTTACAATGAGAGGACAATAGACTGATTGTCAACAAAAGAAACTTTGAAGAATACAAAATCGTACTTCTCGTTTCTATCATTGCTTTTACTCTGCATTCTTATGCATGCACATCCGATTGCATCTGTGAATGACAATTACTGATTTATTTATGTTTATTAAGAAAATAGTCTTCAAAGAGCACGTCTTCAGAATGACATTCATTAAGAATCAAAAATCAGCTTTATTTATTTTTATTTATTGATTAAACAAAAATATTATACAAGTAAGAAGCTTTTATATGAACAAAAACAATTTATTCAACATACTAAAATTACTCGGGAGAATTAATTCACTTTTTTCACACTAGATAGTTTCCTCATAGGGTATGAAATTAATTATATATTTTTTTCCTTTTGTTTTTAACTTACGTGATATAAGTACTTCAACAATTGTATCCGGAACAAGAATGTCTCTTGGATTGAGTGGTATTATTCTTGAATATGATGATGGTTCATATCGAAATAATAATATTCTATTGTGTAAAAACTTTATATCCTGATCGGGACACTTAAAAAAAGCAAATCGTTTTTGTTATATTGCTTCTATTCGAAAAAACTAACCATTGTTTCAATAAATCTCATAGCTACTTCGCGTAACGTATTCATTGTTAGATTAAATCGGTCCATTTTAATGTTTACTTTTTGATGGTAGGGACCAAATTTAATTTCAAATGTATAATTTTTGTTAGGAGCATCTGATGACGACATGCCATTGAAGCAATTCAATACTGAAAAGCTCAGATATACTTAGTAAGACCCCAAACAGACCAAAAAAATAAAACAGAATTAAGCAACGTGATTGGTTAATTCACACTTAAGTCATCTTTTTGAGACGATTTAGTGGTTAATTCTGTTTTATCTTTTTGGTACTGCTTGGGGTCTAAATGAAACAAATGAGATGACTTGTTTTTTGTTTGTTTACATTTTAATGTTGTTCACTATATATCATTGAAATAAAATCCAATAAAATATTGCGTTTTTGCATTCAATAAAGAAAACGAAATTCACAAAGCTTTGTTTTTCTAAAAGAAACTATTAATAATTAAATATTTTTGGTTATAGCGACATCTTGATTCACCAATAAGATTTATCTTTGCTAAAACATTAAACTGTTGTGAACAGCGATTTTCGGTTATGCTATTCAGTTTCTAAGTATAAAATAAAATTTTCTTGAGGCAAGATCAAAACATTTCAAATAGATATCGAAATAAATCATATCTAGTTAGAAAATGTCTGATATCAATATCATAGTTAAGACTGAACTGGAATGTTTTTGTCTAACTTTACTACATGAGAGAACCGAAATTTATTTATTATTTATCAACCTAGTGAACTAGAAGATACAGTAATTCTCATTAAATTTGCAATGAGTACTAACGAAGAAAAGTTCCAATAATATGGCATATGTCTATATACTCTATATATTTATTTATTTATTTACAGACAACAGTAGCTTCTTTTTTTTATAGGTTTGCTATTTGAATAGATTTAGGTCTATATTTGATGAAAACAAGTAGAACTCGAGATAGTTTTCCTTTTATATCTTTACTGCATTCTTGTCTGAGATAGTCATTAAGTAGAGCATGTAATGATCATTAGTAGACTCGTTTGTCGTTGGAAAGACAGAAGATTTGCCAATTAACAAGTCATTGACAAAGAATAAAATCTAGAGAATGTTTTTTATATTACTGGTTTATTATACGTGTTTATCAAACATTTATCATCATTATCTATAGCTATTTTCATGATATAGTGTTTTAGAATTGAAAGAGCCACCATGTAAAACTAATGTACAGACAGGAAGAATAACTAGCTGCATCTATATATTATAGCTATAGATATGATTGATGTTAGATATGAGGAATTAACTACAAAGTATGGGTTTATATTCTAAGAGGTATTGAGCAAAGAGAAAGAAAACAAAAACAAAATTTTGATATGAGAACCATTAATTCTAAAGTTATTACTAGAAGTGATTTCATCTTTTGTGGATTGTATCGACACGTAAAAGAAAGAACCTATCAGGGTTGCCACCTCTTCCGCTTTTTTTTGCTCTTTTTCCGTTTTTTCTATTTTTGTTTCCGCTATTTTCCGTTATTTCCCGCTCTTTTTGATCAAACTTTCCGCTTTTCTGACCTGATGAAGTGGCAACTCTGGAACCTATATGATAATTCTATCTTCAGTGAATTTGTTCCTATTTTAACGTTAGATGGTCATGAATACAGAGAACAATTAAAACTGTTTTCTAGGCGTGAAATTGTGCAATTCAAATCTCCAGAGGTATTAAAATGACTTGTGTGACAAATAAAACACGATCAAAAATAGAATACATAAATTTAGTTGAATATTATGTATGACCAATGACAAGAAATTACGGTTCTCGGAAATTCATTTTCTACATCAAACTTAGTAAATTTATATTTACACATTATTTTAATAGAAAAAATTTAATTAACCAATAACGGTGCTGAAAACAAATACTGAAAATCTCAAAGTGCTCTGATCGCTCGAATTATTATATCTATTAGTATTTTGGCTCTAGAATTATTTTTATTAAAATTTGAATTGAATATTCATAGAAATATTCGATAATACTTGAAGAATCTTTCAAAAAAATCATTAAATTATATACTCTATCCATTTTTCATCGATGAACCGTTAATCAATCTTGTTTTCAGCGATCTTAATATGATTTAATAAAATTTTTATACATGGAACTTTAGTTTTACGTCCTTCCTTGAAAGACTATTGCTATTTGTCTTGTATTTCTCTACGAACACTTGTATCGAAATCGATACAGTATCAGATTTCTTGTTGCGTAAAAAAATTATAACAAGAAAGTGATAAATATGACAGATATTTCGGTAAACTGGTATACTTTTCTTTTCTAGCAACAAAACAAAACTCTTGGCTGAAATTCATCATTAATAAAATCATTTGTTGTAGAACTAAATACTTTCAAGCAAGCCACAATATCGCATAATATTTAAAAAAAAGTAGTATCACATTTAGTCTTTTACTGCTGATGCATGATTTGCAATAAAATTATATTCTAATATCCACAATCTCTCTCGCTCCCAAGGTTTTAATTGAATTAAATTTTGCGGAATAGTAACGTGTGTTGGTATTACGATACAAAAAAGTGAAATTTACATGAATGATAAATATTCATCGCCTGAGAAAAAGATACAATTTGATACCCAATCAAATATTTCTTTTGAAGATGAAATAGACTAATTCGCAGATTGTTTTTGGATTTATCTTGGTATTCTTAAAATAAGTTCTACAATCAAGTCAAAAACGAATGATACGACTATTTTCTGTTGGAATAAAATTTCAAACATACATTTTCTAGAGCAGAATTTAGCATAAAAAATTCACTGATTCAACATATTATGGAATATGTCTGAAGATATTTTATAGGAACAAGATTTCAGACGTTAGCATTCAGTATAAACTATTCGTGTAGTAGTCCGAGAAAGTTATTTTATTCAAATCATGAAAGACAAAGAATTGAGTGAACGTGCAAGATCCAAACGAGACGAGAGTCTATATTATATATAAGTTTTCATGCATGGAAAGAAAAAGAAAGAAAACAAAAACTCGCGAAGTTCTGTAAATTTACAAAAATCTATTCTCTCCATTTACTCAAAGGTACTTTTTATCTGACAATCTCAATTTCACATCTACCTGAAGAAAAGATATGTCGATTTGATGTTATGCTGTACATATAGCTATTTAGTACAGTTCTACTAGATTGGATAATTTTTGATTGATTTTAAAATACATATATTCTGTTTCTCAGTAGAAACAAAGTGGAAATATTCTTTTCTGAGAATAAACGGCTGATATATGAGATGGGTAGTAATTGAACGTGTTTATTTTTGATTACATGAATAATTTGTATTTTGCATAAACAACGAAGATAGTTGAACTTGAACTAAATTAATTTTAAATAAATATGCTCATAGTTCGAATATTCTAACATAAGAAAGAAATCGATCCACTGGTAGAAAATGTCATAGTCGCCCGTAATATTTCTCTTATATCTAATGTTTGCGATGCAAAAACCTAGTCCGCTTCAATTTTCTCATATATTTTAATAAAAAAAAATTTTCATTAAAAAAGGGCTTGTGTTCCCTCACAACGAAGCAAATATAATGCTTACCTAAAAAATGAATTTTTCTTGTTTAAAAGAAAAATAAATCAAATTTATTGAATTAACTAACGATGCATTTAATCAAGAATCTACTGTGAATATTTTCATGTCATTCATTTATAATGAAATGATAAATATTAACTGAAAAATGTATTCAAGTAAACAAGTAGTGCAAGTGACAGCTTTGGATTTTACAAATACACCGTAACATTGTCAACACGAAAGATTGAAATAAATCTCTTTCGCATTAAAAATTTAACAAAAATAAGATCTATTTTAATATTCATTTTTTTATGAAAAGACATCGTTGTCGATTCCGACTGAATTCTTTTTGATTACATTAACAAAGATTTTAGTTTATAATGCTAGATTAGCTTAAGTTCGAAGATAAGAAGTTGATCGTATTTCCGGGCATATGCAATTCGAAGAAAAACAATAATCTTTCAATACTGATACATATCCTAGACAGATTACTACTTGAATTTATATTACTGAAAATTATTTATCGAAATCTGTATTATTTGTGTGGATGTACTCACTATGATAGATTGTCTCGGATAAACTCAATCCATACTATATACCAATGTCTGAGTGCAATTCTGAAATTTTTATCGTAAATCGCTCAGACAAATAGACGCAATCCTGTAGATTTGTATTCTCTATAAAAACCAGATCTATTCCTCTGAATGAGCACTTTACATTTTACTAATTTGGTTCTTCGAATATAAAATAAGCTAAGATACTTTTATTCAGAAGCAGAAACAAGGGAAGCAGTCTATTAAGTTTGTACGATATAATTAGTATATTAAGCGACAATGAGGAGTTTGGTTTGATCTCTGAAAATTTTTTCCATTACAACAATGCATAAACAGGAATTCATGTGTTTTCTTCTCAATTTACATAACACATATGAACTTTATTAATAAGAGTAGAAGAATAGAAGGAAAAAAACTTATTTAATTCTGTTGAGCAATCAGATTTTTATCGAAACTTTTCAAACTTTAAAAAATTGAAATATTACATTAAAAATAATCTCGTTGCATAAATAATCATCACGAAGGCAAGCAAAATTATTATTGAGTCTCATTATTATTACCAAGAAGTACTCATGTAGACTTTAAAAAATGAATCTATGGATTGCAGGCCATAGGAAGCCAAAGTCAATATCTTTAGATGCAGTTGTACCAATGAAGTATCTAACAACTTATTATTCAGTTTCTTATTAAATCATGATTAATATATATATACACACATCGAAATAAACATTAAAAAAAAGTAAAGCTCACATCTATTCTCTTTTAAATATCTTCTATTTCAATATACGTATATGATATAATTACTTATATCTCAGACAAGTACGTATAACAAAAGTCCGAATCATTTCAACTAAAATGATTCGATTATTAATTTACTTGTTTCTTTTTTAATGATTTGTGTATAAGAAAAGAAGAATGAAAAAGAACATAAATTCATTTTAAAGAATTAACACAGATATAAATAATCGAATGTGGAAATAAATATTTTGATTTCAATTCTATTCAACACCGTG